AAATTTAATTTAAAAAAAAAAATTAATTTAATTGTTTTTCCCCCCCCCCCCCCCCCCCCCCTTTTTTTTTTTTTTCATTCTCCCCCTTTTAGTTATCAGGATACCAGTCAATAATATCCAAGCCTTTGTATGGGCCCTTGAGATTATAAAACGCGGCAGCGCTCACGGTATCTGATTCCTGAATCGTAGGCGGGAAACGGTAGTTCATCACAGAATTTTGATTAGCTGGTCCAAACTTGACGCCACCACCCTCCCGGGCAGCGAATTCATGGCGCAGTCCCAAAACATGTCCAAGCTCGTGAAGAAATATATTGCTCTGGTATGGGAGATATTTTTCGTCAAAAGCCAGTTTATATACAAAGAGTGCGATGAGGTCCTTGTCGTTGGGGAAGAAAGCTTCGGCTAGGGTACCTCCTCCGTCGCCACCATAGGTGAGTACGAACCATGCATCCTCTATATTAGTAAACCACTGGAAGGTAGCTCCTATATTAAGATCGTTCCATTCCCTGGCGGCTAAGTTGAGTTTGTAGGCGGCGAACGTGGCCTGGTCTAGAGTTGGGTAATCTTCCACGAGGGCCGCAAATTGGACTACCTGACCCTTCTTCCAGCGCGGAATGTCACCATCATATCCGATCCAAAGAGAAAAGGGGTCAGACTTCTGGCTCGGCTTGATTGGAAGCTTTTTCTCCGTTATGCAGGTGTACTTGGATTGTGGCACATCAAGCAGAGCACTCCCCTCAGGTCGTAACATTGCGGCGATATTTGGGGGGATATTCTCCATTTCAGGATCTGCTGGTATAGTCTTCCTGACGCTTTCAGTGACGTTGTTCTTCAACACTTCGAAGAATTTATCCCGATTTCTGTTGGAGGGCTTGCCAGCCCTGGTAGGTTGAGCAGAGGGTGCCATCTTGAGCTCTACTGGAATGCCGCACCAGTTGCCGAGGTTAAACTCCACGATGTCGGTTATGTTTGAAGGTGGAAGGAAATGATATCAATTAAAATTTAACAGTAAGATTTCTGAAAATCCGATGGCTGCTAAATAGATGAACATCACATGGCAGCATACCTATTTATCTTCCACGCCAGCCTGCGTGGCATTTGTAGCTGAGAACGCCCAGTGCCTATTTCAGATGAGGTTGATCAGAAATACGTCAATGTGGCAACAATACATTTCAATGGGCAGTACTTATTCTTTCAGCTGCTTTGGGATCACATCCAGAGCAAAAATAATTTTTCAATCAGGAATAAGTAAGTACTATTGAGGATATTAGATGATAGCCACAATCACTTGGGTTGTCAGCTGTATTAGATTGCGATGTAAGTGGATTAGTAGTGCAGCAATATGCAAACCCAAATCGTATAGAATGCGAACGGTATCTGAAATAGCTGAGATAGCTTGTATCAGCTCTTTCTATGATGTGTGGCTTTTCTGACTACTGAAACACGCCGACATGAGAAACACAGTCGAATACATGTACAGATTGACTACAGGGTTAATAAACCTAATGTAATAAACCATAGTTAATTGCTTATTCTTCAAAGATGTTTAATACAGGAATCATTCTTTTCTTCAGCTACAGGTGGGTAGTTGCAAGTCAATGGAAACCCGCCCAGGACGAAATTGGTGGGAGTTTCCATTTTGTAAGTGCACATGAGCTCCATGGTGAACCGCTCAGGGTCCTGAACGTGTTTACCACCCTTATGCTTTTCCAAATGCAGGTCTATGAGCTTTATTCTTAAATGCGCTAACTCTTTCGTTTTCTTCTTTTAAAAAAATAGTACACTAGTACGACTTTGACTTTTCTCCCACTGATATTGGTAAAAGCTAATCCAGTCTAGCAATGATTATTCACCTGACGACAACCGCTTCGGTAAGTAGTACCACTGTCTAATGGGAATCCTAATGATCAAATGCTAGCCGGGTCTAAATCTAAGGCCATTCCTCTGTTAATTAATGTAAGTTGCTTCTATGCGGACATATGACTGATACGAGTTCTTAGAACCCCCCTTCTGGCAGAGCTGGAGTTTAAGAGGATAGACGGGGAGCTTGCGCGCATGGAGGAGGCACGAAAGAAGAGCTGATTGACAACTTTACGGGTAGCATAGCGAGATGTTCAATAGCTAACCCCAAAACAGATGGTTTGTAGAAACAGCTTCATATTGGAGGCTTGCTGGAGCTGTAGACGAAAATTACTTTGGTAAAGCTGTTTCAAAGCGGCTGAGAGAGGACGCTGACCTTCTTATAAATAAATTATCCAGAAGTAGACCTCGAAACTCCAAGTTTGATCATATACTTGAGCCCAAGTTCACCTTAAAAAAGGTATATATAATAGATGGTTCAATTGACAAATACGTAGATACAAAACTTAACATAGCTTTTATTGCGCTGCTTCGACGCAAAAAGGATTTGGGCTCCAGAGGCCATGGGGATCAGCCTTCTTCCTGATCTCCCGCAGTTTCTCATAGGTTGCTGGCTCGTAATAATGCTGCCAGACATTCTTCATAACCCAGTCACCATACGAGCCCCAAAGAACGCGGCGATCATCTTTACTAAAGTGAGTAGCCGCTCCCTTGTCGTTTTCATCCTGCCATTTCTTAGCCCCCTCGTAATTATCCTGATGAAAGACATCCCAGGTTCCGCTAACAGTGGAATCTCTCCAGCCATAAGCAGTGCCGTTGTTTGCGTTGTTCCTGAACATGGAGCCTGTTCCGCCATAAACTTGCAACTGAGACGAGACCCACAGACCATTGCCCTTGACGGAGAGAATCTCGTCGATACGCCCAGAGAACCAGTCGGACCAACCAGTCTTAGAGAGCGTGGTCGAGTTAGTCGTGTTGGTGCGTTTGATGTAAGGGTAGGGGAACTCTCGACGGCTTCTGAAGAGCCACATGGATGTAATGTAGGACATTGGGGTACCCTCAGGGGTCTCTTTGTAGAATTTGAAAAGATCGTGAGTGGCGTGCTTGATGCGATTGAAGAGATCTGGAGAGAATTCATCGGTCCCTAGATTTACCCACTGGCAATAGACGACAATGACAGCAAACTTAAACTTGAACACATTGGCTATATTCTTCTTGCCATCGTGAATGTTGTTTGGCAGTGTCTCCTTGAGTTCGTCTTCTGAGCCGGGGAACAGATCCAAAAGATTCGACTCTCTACTGACGACATTGACGGTGAAGTCGTAGCTGCGCGGGAAGTTTGGGTCTTCGGCTTTCTCCACCAAGAGGTCAAGGAGCTCCTTCAAGGTGTCTTGGCGGTAGTGGAACGCCATCCAGAGTCCCTTGGAGCCTTGGTACTTTTTGTCGTCTTGGACTTCGACTTTGAAATGAGTCAAGACTCCGATGTTGCCTGGGCTGCCACCGAGGAGACCAAAGAACAAGTCAGGCTGCGTCTCCTTGGTCACCGTGACCAGTTCGCCATTGTGGTCCACGATTTCGAGCTCACGGATGTAATCTCCAAGAAGCCCAAAGGATCTAGCTAGCATACCGTAGCCACCTGTCTGGACATGGCCTCCGAGGTGGACCGTGGCGCATTGGCCCGTAGGCATAAAAACGCCATTCGCGAGGAGGAAGTCATAAACCTCAGCTAGAGCCCAGCTAACGCTTGCTTTGATATAGACCTTGTCGTTTTCAGTATCGCGGATCAATACAAGGTCCTTCGTTGGGTCTCGGAACGTAAGTTCCAAGTCCAACTGAATGCCATTGGGTCCAGTTGAAGAAGCACCGCTGTACTGATGACCACCAGTCCTGATGGCGATTGGTTTACCAACTTTGTTGGCATATCTAACAACACCTTGGATGTCTTCTACACATGTAGGCTGTAGAATCTCTCCGGGGTTCATGTTACGCTCTTTTCCATAGGTAGACGTGGCGTATATATCGTTTGCCTGGTCATAGGCTGCGGTTCCTGGCCTGAGCTGGCTGCCCTGAAAAGCAGGATCGGGATTCATGGTGTAATACAGATGATGGAAGTGTTTTCTTGGAATACAGATGAGATGAGTGAAGAGGAGGAATGTTTGCGCTAGAGACTGGCTCTTCACACCCTCTTATATGTGTTTTTGTGTTACCTATGTTGTCATTCGGTGTACTGCCTTGCCTTGCGGTGAATCCTTCATAAGCAATCCTTCATATTCGTCTATCCATGTATTAAATTTTATACATTCAGAAACCCCAGCGGGCACCAATAATATTGTTTGTCCTTCACTGGTTTCTTGAACCCTGGATATTTCATTATTCTTCACTTTTTGGCATAAAAGAAGTTGAAGTGGTAGAATTATTGTATTAATTTATGAATTTGATCATAAACTTTAGATTGGAATGTTGGCATTTGCGTTGAACCACAGCCTTACGGGAGTGGAGACTAATTTATGGCTCGGGGAAAGCGAGACAAGGCTATTTGCCACTTACATGACGAGGCCAAGCGGAGGTCAGAAAAAGCGAGACCGCAAAATGAATAAGTGCATCCATTTAGAAATATCAGCACCCAAACAGCTCATCAAGTAATGCGTTTGACTACATATATTCAGCCAGCATTAGAGCTTTACCAGCTAACTATAATAACAGTTATTATAAATAGATAAATACAGTAGCAGTTACTATAAACGTAGAAATATAATAGCAGTTACTAAAGATATATAGATATAGTAGTAGTTACTATAAATATATAAATATAGTAGCAAATACTTAAAGAAACGGTGTATAATTTATCGTCTAGGTGTTTGAAATCTTCTCAGTCTCGGTTTTTTTACCCCCCGCTTGGAGGCGTAAAAGGATGAGTGGTCAATGCTCCTGCTAGGTAACCAATATTTCAATGCAGCGAGCCTACTGGCTGAGAAACTTGACAATGGCTGAGATGATGTGTGAGACAATCTATTGGCAATATATTGACGGCATGTCAGAAATCCTTCTGCAGGGCGAAGACAAGCGTTATGGGGAGGCCCATAATGCTCAGCCACTTATTGGTATGAAGCCTCTCGTCCTTTATGGAAATAGGTATGTCCAAGTCGGGCTTTATTTAGGGTTGTATTATACTTCAGCCATGGCGAAAGTTTTGAGAAGCAAAGAGGTGTCTACAAGCAAAACATATTTCGACCTGTGAAGGTTTGAACCTGAGTCTTGACACGTGCCGTTTAGTCTTTCTATTGCCTCAGAACAGCTGAAAGCTGTTTTCGAAGCTGAAACCCCCCCTGCAGAACTGACGTCACCTAGGTAATTACACAAGAGTTCACAACATGAAGAGTGTATCAGCTATCAACAGAGAAGATGTGCTGTTCTGTTTGGCATTACGTACTGTATACTTTGACAGCCAGTCACTACCATTGTTATCAACATGCGACACTTGGACAATACGTTCTAGGACTGCCGAAACAGCTCCCCACGATACAGCCTTCGCTTCTTTTTTCCCGATTGAATGAGACAGCTCAGCTCAGCCCTGCCACCTGGAACAAAAAAGTAACAGGTCAATATGAGCTATCAGAAGTACTAGGACCATCCGACACCTTTCATCAGTTTTGTTGTGCTTGTTATTTTTCTCCTCAAGTGAGCAGCAAATGGGAATAGCCGCCCTCGCATGCTCCGGGTTCTGGATCGAGGTCTAGCGGTTCAGCCCTCCCAGCCACTGCCGTATGGTCGCCGACTGATTTACGGTGAGAGTAAGCCATTACGTCGCACAGCATGTCAATCAATCAAGGATTGTGGGCTAATTACGGTAACGCATCTTGGACATTATTGTTGATCGACAAAAGGGAGGAGTAACGAGGAAAAGTCTTGCGATGATTGAAAATCGAGCTTTAACAGTCTGTAATATTATAACAGGCCATCACCTAACGAATAAATGCTAGTCTAATGATACGATTGTATCAAGATTCTTAATATTAATCATCGTGATCCGATGGTGCTGGTGCGTGAATGCTTTTCAACAATAGACTCTGTAAATGAAGAGGTAATTGAAGCCTGCTATCCATATGAATAGTCTACCTGTGTTATACAAGAGCATGAATTATACTTTCCATAAAGAGTATGGACTCTAAGGGACAGACACCAGCTACTCATGGTGCCCTTAGAAAAGCCCGAGAGTCTTGGGCCCTCAGCTGGCCTTCCACCTGCTGGCCACTGTGGTGTGTATCACAGGCTGGGCTGGCGCATCGCTTGGTGGTATGTTGTAAGCACCCTGGTGACAGTGGGTGCTGTGAATTTATTATTCGATATTTAAATATACATTACCGCATATAATCCAACGGAAGCTTCACGCGACGAGTATCAAAATATATGTGAGAAGCATAATTGTGGGCTTCCATATGAACTCTTACGAAAATTCTGTCCTAATATTGTAACCAAGTTACTGTTGTTACTTGAATTTTAGACCCTATTGCATATAGATAATTTGCCATTGCCATCTTTGGTGTCCATCGTGAGCATTTTTTAGCGGCCCATGAAGAAAAGAAACTTACCCGTAGATGCAGACGCTACCGTTTTCTTCAATGTTCAACTAAAAGAGAGCGACAAACGTCTTAGCGTGGGGTTGATTAAGTTGGTCAACTATAGACAACAGAATTCTGTAAACCTGATTATGGAGTCATAAGATGCAAAAAGAGGGAGACATTAGCCCCAAGGAAAATACATGTAGCTTTACAGCGCCCTGCGTTATCCACTACATGTACCTGGATTTGGTAGTATGTTGTGTGACGAACCGTTGGGATTTTAAGACACCCGACATGGAACAGCTAATAATCTGCGATCAATCCCTATTAGCTGCAACAAAACTCATACATTTTGCAGATGCATAGGCAAGTCCATTGCAATAGCTAGTAATTTCATTGTTTCCAACTAGGATGGCAACCTTTGTTCGCTTTTCATTGCATTTGAAGCCATGAACGATGAATACTTTTATTAGACTTGGAGGTGGTTAGAGGTCGACGGCAATCGCCTCCATACTAATGTCTAGGTGGATGTCGACGTAAGTCTTGTAGCTATTGTAGCTTTACCGACCCTCTTGATTATAAATATAACCTTCCTAAGGGTAGACATAAAAAAACCTGATTTACTACCTTGGAAGAAATAAATCAGTGCTTATAATATTTTGGTCTGCTATGATGGGCGGGCGACTGGTGGTGCGCGCCGAAAGCCAAACTCTTCTTGATTGAGATGATTATGGAGCTGAAAAAGGTCCTGTGCCGCGTCCCCGCCAATGTGCACACATATCTAGTCTAGTTCTATCACCTCGACATTGTCATTGACAAATTGCCTGACCTGCTTCGGCCAGAACGTTGGATAGCAGCCTTTGCCTCTCAGTACCACCATTTCCAGCTTTTCCAGCTGCCTGCCACAATCAGCGAGCAAGCTCTCTATCCATTGTGATTTGCCAAAGAGTTCCTCGCCCAATTCATCTTCGCTGTCCTGGAACATGGAATCCGCGCTAGAGATGATTATATTGGGTTCAATTGCTCGGGAGACGTCGTTGAATGAGGAGCAGTCAATATGCAAGAACTTCAGCTCTCTCGTCCGCAAAAGGGCTTTCTTAGTGAACTCTGCGCCTCTGAGATCGAACCTATCTTCCTTGCGGAGTTGAAGAAGAATCTTCTGGACGCGAGCCCAGTCAAGACGGCCTTTGACTGCGAGTTGGAGTCGGAAGTTCCAAGGCGAGTAGAAGGTCATGGCCACCTCCCGCGGCCGCCTCACCGATCGCATTTCCGACAATATTTTCTGGCAGCTGGCTTCAAGCGGTATGCAGTCGCCTTTGTAAGGTTGGTCCTCATTGAGAAACAGGCGTTCGGGCTGGTTCGTTTCGACTCCATCTGTAATGGCGTCGACAGCAAGGTACTGCTGGTAGATAAGGTCACGGATCTCCCTTGGGAGACGAGTCAAAAAGAGAGAGGCGGCTTGGTCTAGGCATTCGGACTGAAAATTCGAGTGTTGTGATGACATGTTTGGGGTCAGATATGTCAAGTTTAAGATGATGCCAGTAGTACGAATAGCAGTATAATTCGGTGTTGATGAAGAGGAGGGGTAGGTAGTTAGTCTCCCGATTCTCTGATTCTAATACTCGGAGTTGGGTTTTAAGGGGTCGGTCTGCTCCACAACCCACCTAGCGCCTCTAATCATCGAATTGGGTGGCTGGCCCTCAGAACTCTCTTCCTATATTTACAGGGGTATGCCTGGAGGTCTGCTTCTCGTGCCACTGCCTTTGTCTCTTTCTCGTGTCTGTCAGCCCAATCAATCAATATGCCCCTCTGCCGCATAATGCTCGGCCGAGGCCATCTTTAGTTCCATCTCTTTCTGGTAGTTACATAGGCAGGCCGAGAAGCTTGGACACAGAGTTGCATAGTGTACTGTACTTATTGTTTGTAATGTCAAGCTAAAAATGCTTCCATCGGCAGAACTGTCGCCATTTCTAGCAGCCCGGGGCTTATACGTGCAGTGCAATTTCATTCGGGTAATAATGGACTTGTTGATGTGTAATTGTAGGCCAAGTAGGTACTCCGTAGGCGCTTCGCCTTTCTTTTTATAGAAACCTGGAACAGCTAGTGCGGGGCAGGATCTCAAAATGTGTGCCTCAGTACATGTAGGTATGTACTCAAACCCATCAAGGTAGTAGAGGAGATATGCCAGTGACAATGGTACTAGCATATTGATGTTGTTTAGATACTCAGAACTAAGTATGGTGCTATATATACAAATACTGTCTCTTTCCAGTATTACAGCATCTATCTCCAGTTCTTTCCTTTTTAATGCCCATCTGGTCTCAGAATTCTTGTAGAGGATTCACAACGAATAAATGTAAGCTAACAACCATACGCCAGTATGTAATCAGCAAGAGGGAGGCAAATAGTCTTACAATGTTTTGTATCGTGTAAACTTCATTAACTTAGGATCAAGTACGCCTGTCGCCATTTACCAGGCCCTCCCTACTTTATCTAGGCTTAGCACTAATACTACAGAGTCTAACTTTAGGTGTCCCAGTTACATGTAGTTATTATAGGTATCTCATAAATAACAGTCAGTACATGTACTTAATATCAGCTTAGCAACTAATCATATTTTCAAGCCCTAGCATTCATGCGAGAGACACACACTGCTGAAACACTTGGCTAGGTTCATCACTAAAATTAGATTGGCTTCGTGAAATGGAGCATGTCAATTCGAACCCCCCCCCCAAAAAAAAAAGCTCTTATTACCCTAGTCAAATAGATTATATCTCGACCTCTGCTATCAATCCCCGTGCACGGCGATTAATTAGTCTATAAACGTTTTTGTAACCGTGCTTGTAGCCGTTGTGATCGGCGCCGAATTGGCGGTGGTAGAACCTCAGCGCACGATTTCCGTTTCAAGGACTGGCTTTTCTGAGAGTCCAAGGTTGTATTTGTCTGTGGGCTGGCTGGTTGACCAGGCAGACGGGATTTTTGTGCGCCCCTTCTAGATGCCGTTGCTTTAATGGAATTCTTTGATCTTCCTCGAGCTGGTTGTTGAGCAGCGTTTTGACCCGAGAAACTGTGTTGCTTCGATCTTTTGAGGCTGCGTCCCGTTTCTTCGTCCTCAGCTTCCTCTTCCTCGGTTTGTTTTCTTTTCTTGCTGGTCGGAGGCTTGCTTTGGCTACAGTCTTTAGCTGTACATTGTTGCTCGGTCTCAACTTCGATTAAACTCAACTGCTCAAGGATCCATTGCGTCAAGACGCGTTGGTGGCGAAAAAAGCGCTCCTTGCTTCGATACAGGTCAGTGTCTCGGATAAAAATGTCTATCCGCTGTTGGAGGGCCCCAAAGTTATCTTCTGGTTGAGCTAATGGTCTGCCAAATTCGTCATACGTCGACGAATCCGCAATCAAGAATTTATCCCAGGCAGCGATGTAATCTTGTTCCAAGATCATTAACAAAGCAGCGAGCCTATCTGTCTCAAAGTATTCAAAGTTGAGATACTCAACCCATGTTGTCCAGGCATCTTGTTGACGCGGGTCGTCTTCCAATCGAAACTCCTGAGTGAAGTTGTGAGATGCCAGACGTTTCTTGACTGCTTCTTGGTAGGCTGAAAAACTTCCGCCGGGGATTTCGCAGTAATTTTGATGACCCATCTCCCACATTCGTGCGGTTGACTCGTCATACTCGGGACCAGATTGTGGATAGAATTCTCGCAAACCTTGGCGCCTCTGTGCCTCTAGGTACTGGGGGAATCCATAATCTCCATCCTCAATGTTTCGATTTTCCACCTGCCATTTAATGAAGTCCCACCAGCGATGGGCTTGTATGGCAAAAATCGTGGGCACTTCATCGCTGGACCAATCGTGATCTCGGAACCATGGGCCACTCAACCATGGGAGCTTCTTTCGCTCACTCTCAGTCAGCGACGCAATGTCGAGAGCCACAGGCCTACCACCATGCTGAAGGAGCTCCTCAAGACGCAGCAACTCCATCTCTTTGTCATTGGCCAAGACGCGTCTGTCAAGAGACGACGAGGGGGACGGGGTGTCCCTATCGCGCGACCCCCGTCGGGTGTATTTACGAGGGGTGTTTGGGCCTTCAGCAACGTCGACCAAGCGTTTTGTGAGCGCATCGATATCGAGAGGGGCAGGCTCAGTTGCTTTCGCTAGCTGTTGCAGGGCGGCTCTACTCAAGATTAGAAGATAAGATCATATATAGACAACCCAGGGGCCCAAAAGAAGTCTGCGTACCTCAACCTTTCGAAAAGCAATTGTCGTCGGGACTCTACCATCAAGTGGAGATCTGACGCGCTTGAAATATCATATCCGCCCTCTGGGCGTTCGCAGCGCTTCAAAAATTCTGTGAACTGGTCATCATCAAGGGAGAGTAAATCCTCTGCGGTGTATGTAGGGGCTTCATCCCTAACTGACGATGTGGCTGGCATTGTGCCCCGGCGCGTCGGAGAATGTGAGATGGCTGGCGTAACGGGCAGAACTGGGAAGATGGTTGGGATCTTCTGTACTTTAAATACCATGCGTGTACTAGGGGCAAGGGGTGAAAAGCAGACACCCGACGTTACACAGTCCGATACAAGAGCTGTAAGGAAACAGTCAAGCTTCAGTTTAGTCCTGTATGGCGAACAAGACTTTAACAAACAAAAATCTATTCTCTTTGTGGGATAAGGTCAAAGAAAATCTAGTATTTGCCCTCGTGACATTTTTTTCAATCCTCTTTGACTCTATCCTTTTCTTTGTGCCAGTCCAGCAGCACATTCTCAGATACTGCTTCTCGCAGCAGGGTAACAATACATGTAGGTATGCATACATTGGAAGCTTACATGAGGCATCTGGACAACATGTTCTTTGCTTCCATCGGATCTGGCCTTGGGCCATCGGTTTTCCATGGAGAACAAAAAGCCTACTACATTAACCCAGTTGCTCTTATTACCAGATAATAGGCGTGTAACGCATTTGCTTTCTACTACACTATTAGATATTCGCTAGCTTCAAAATGAGATCAACGCCCAGATATTTGACAAATGAAACCAGTATCTTCCACTGCAAAGAATGATGACAAAGCTGGCGAACTCAGTGTGCTGTACGCTATAAAAAAGGGGAAAAGCTAGATATGTAAACAGGAGCATATAGAGAAATGGACGTGACCAAGGAGCGCGGTTACACACATCCGCGTGACGGCTCAACAAAAGAAAACATTTCTAGAAAAAAAATCAAATTTCCCCGGTGAATAACCGAATATTTGTGGTACAAGAACTGTATACCAATAGTACTCCTGAATGCCACAAAATTAATGTCCTTGTGCTTTGTTGGATGAAAAAGCGTTTCGTCAACAATATGCCTTCGCCTCTTGAATCCTCTTCTTCTTCACACACATTACTCTGCGACGTTCACTCAAAGTCAACCTAACCTTCTCTTCTTGAGCGATCTCCCTTTCTCCGAATTCTTGCTGCCTTGGTCCTCATCCACTGTCTGATAGAGGTCGAGCAAGGGGCGGATACGCGTAAAAAGCGCTAGGCTATCGAGTGTTGCTCCCTCTTGGTAAGCTTCTTCTTCGATTATGGGCATGATAACGTCGGTTTGCTCGGTGAACCGGAGCTCTCTTTCTGCGATGGCCTCAACAAGCTCGTCAGCAGGTACTTGGGCTTGGAAATCGGGTGGAGGCAGTAGAGGGCATGAAAGTTTGAACATGGTCTGACTGTCGTCGTCATCGCTGTCGATGTCGGACGGATTAACAATGGAGTCGATTTTGGAAGAACCCCGGTAGCCGAGTTCCGCGATTAACGAGCCGCACGAATCTGCGTCCTCCGATTGAGACGTCTTCGACCCGTCCAATTTCCAGTGTTGAAATTGTTTACCCAGAAGTTGAACCGCCTGTTCGCAGTACGATGCTGTCTTTCGCGCATGCGGATCGATATGCAGCATATTGTCCATGATAAATGGCATTATCTTACTGCCTTCTCGAGACTTTCCCCGGTAGTGCTCCAGTACAGCCTCGGGCCAGCCTGTTGCGATCCCACCATCCGAAGAGGTGCTTTGTGGGAAGCCGTGTTGCCTTTCAGAAAAAACGACAGCAAGAGACCAGACGTCGACGGCCGTAGTGTAGAAGCTTTCGTCTTCCCTGTCTCGCTTGTGGTATATCTCGGGAGCCATGTAGGCTGGCGAGCCACAGTACGTCTTGAGCTGCTCCGTGTTTTTGCCTAAGCCAAAGTCCGCAAATTTAACGCGCATGGTGCCATCGGGAGAGAAGAAACACAGGATGTTATCTGGTTTGATATCTCGATGGACTATCGGCGGAGAGCGTTCGTGCATTGCAGCCATAGCGGACAGCAACTGTCTCATATATCGTATCTCGTCGAGATCTGAGGTGGCATCATAGGAGCTAAGAGAGCCTCCATTTGCATACTCAAAGAATAGTTGTGGCCAAGGGTCAAACTTGGCCTCCAAAAGCGTCACAATGTGGTCCTGAATTTGTTAATGGCCGACACAAAACTCCCCTTGGATGTTCAATTTGGTTCACCAGCTGGGCTGCGTACTCACATGCTGAATATTTGAAATGATATCAACTTCCTTTTTCCAATCTTGCAGTCTGTATCCTGTTTTGGACGTATTCTTTGGTTCCTTCAGAGCGTACTCTTCTCCAGTACAGGTATTGAAGATATGTGTCACAATACCAAAGCTACCATTACCCAGCACTCTGCTCCAGTACGCCGGGTCGGAAGATTTCAAGAATGGAGTACGTGCCTCCAGTGAAGTGGGAAACTCAGTTGCTGTGTAGCTTCGGACCTTGATCAACTCGGCTAGGTCTGCTATGTTCCCTGTCCCTTGGCGGAACTTTGCAACGTTGTCGATGTATTGCCGCGATTTGATATCGTGGTAGGGCACGACGAGTCTGAAGCGATAGTTGCGAGTAATCTTGAGCATTGGCATTTTGTCCCTGACAAAGTCAACACCGCCAACCACCCAGTCCGTCGAGATGCCGGGTCGCGCCTTCTCATCACCGTAGGCGACTCTGGTTCCCACCGTGGAGCCCAATTCTCTGACGACTAGGTAGTTGTTCTCGTTGAATGTTAAAGCTGCGTGGTATTTGCTGACATCATTTCCACCGGGTAAGAAAATATCACAATCGGGGGACCGTCCTATTATCACACCGTGTGCTGTCTTGGCCCCGTCACTAAATTTTAACTTAATATGAGGGCCATCCAGAAACACATCGCGCCCCTCTGGCTCTCCAGCTGTTTCCCATTCTCCGCGTCGACGGGCATAATTCTCCAGAATTTGTATCTTGCCCTGTCCACTTCTTGTGCTTCGTAGCCTATTCTTGGCATGGGTGATAGCTTTTAATGCGTTTTCATTGCCCTTGCTTTCAATGGCAAACAGGTAAGCATAAACATCCGGATCAGACATTACGAGTCGATGTATGTAGATCTTGAAGAACAGAAGGCAAAAAGACTAGGGGCCAAAGAGGGAAAGGTGAAGCTGAAGCAGAGAGAAGGACCGAGAACGCCTGAAGTCAGCGGATTATCGACGAATATAACAGACTCTCGTCATCAGCAGCCACAACGGCCCCGGTCCAGATGGCCTTGCAATCCCTGGTATGATTCCGGGAAAGGCAAGGTTGCCCGACCCAAACAGGTCCCGGTTACAGTAAGTGGATGCAGGCAGCTTGACAGAGGCACTCGAACACATAGCCACACGTAACCCCTCATTTGAATTCCTTTGTTACACCCCTAAGCGCTCAAACCCTCGGGAAAAGGTAGTGACACAACTATAATTACACGTAGTACCTTGTGGGGTATCGAGGTATCCAATCCACCCTAACGAGCACTCAAAGAGAGATTTGAGTAATAGGTGAAAGAAGAGTATTAAGGATACTACGACTGAAAGAGGGGTATAAGGAGGACAAATGGGAGGATCAATAGTGATTGGTCGAAATAGCAACCGTACTTTTGTCTCTGTGATGATCTTGAAACTCCATAATACGTTGAGGGTATGAACAAGGAGGAGAGCTAGTTGGTTGACGAAAAGTTAAGCAAACAACATGATGGGGTTGACAAAGGGTGGTCACACGAACGACATTGAGCCAACGACATGTGGTGCCAGGTGACGAAATGCCCTTTACCACCGTTCATTATTTTTATAGCAATTAGGAGCCTGCCCAGCGATTGAATCAGTTTGTGGTGCATCCACTAGACATTCTTGTTCTGGGGACTGACACAAGAACCACTAGACGATATCTACGCCTTGGGGACCAACCAACTGCTCATCACCTACGACTTTTGTATCAGTAATGCCTATCCTGTGTCTCTGCTACACCAGTCTGCTTTGAAACCAACGGTTCAGAGCCTTGGCATATTACGGCGTCTTCTATCCTCATTGGACATCGACAATATCTCCTCCTCTCTTGTGGTACCCAATATCAATCCTGCCTTTTCGCTTTACTTGGCAAGTTATGTCGCTAACCGTGTTAACTTCTTTTTATATCTTCACAGTCGGCAAGGCGTCCTTCGAATTTCATTTGTGTCCTCTAAGAATCCTTCCTGTGCACCATGACTGGTAAATCTGCCTACGCTAGATCTCTTATACTCAAGCGTGTGCTACGGCGTTGATCTGGGTTGGATCATGAAGCATATATACGCCAACATTATTTCCTATCTCCAGTATAAGGAACATGTGTTTATGCATACGAAGGCGCCGGCCAGGAATCTCTTTTGGAGGATTTACGGTATGTATACTATCTGAAATAAAGGGAGTGTTGGACTGAACTTTCCACGCGGACTGTAATCTAATTCCAAACTGCCCGAAGATCTATGCACCTAAGCGCCGTTTTTCAATCGTAGCTAGTCTAGGGATAAGCCCACCACCAATTAAACTAAGCACACAATCCAACGTTGCTCCACGTTGAGTAACATCCACGTGTTAGCTTTGGCTGATAGGTAGCAAGGCCATCTGATTATATCGGGGAAAAAGGACAATGTTGTGTGACTATTGACGAGACTGTTGATAACCACCATGTGTATTACCCTGCCCTATCTATGGTGGTCAATCTACTAGATGGGACGATGGAAAGTGCTCTGTTATACTCGTCCAAGGGATGGACATCACCCGTGCGATCAACGTTACTTACAGGTCACCGGTGAGATATATCGAATACAGCATTTACTACATTTCGATTTTGCTTTCAATTGTTTAAAACGGCGAGGTTTTAGTCTGATTTGAGAAAGAGTACGGGCAACGTGAAAGTTCCTATTATTCATCCTAAAATTTAAAATACGCGCAAGTGGTATGCAAGGACATTTACCATGTTACAAGTGGAAAGCAATAGAGTATGTAATAAGTGTGAAGAAATGACAGGATATGTTCCTATAAAGCGTCAAAACTATCATGCTCAAGAACATCCGGTCGGCAAATATTGTTACTTTACACCGGAGAGTAGTTGATTTAATATCCCTCATAGCTCCCATGTACATATAGGAAAGGCGATTGTGGCCATAAAGATATTACATATATAAATCGTGTATTAGAGGGTAATTCTTATAATGTAGAGAGAGAAAATGCAGCTTTTCCGAGATGACTAAGAGCCTATCCCATATAATTCTGTACTTGAAACAGGATCTAGTACCAGCTCATCAGTTTCACTGATAGGATTGATTTAATCTTACACTCCTCTATAGACAAATATTTGTATTTTTGGATGCGTTGTTTCCAATATCGTCATGGGCAAGATGGCGAAAAGGGGGGATATGTGATTAAGACATCAAAGTTCCAAAAAAAGAAAGAATATTTTCACTTCCAAACATGTTCTGTTGCCTTAAAAGAACTGGCTATTGCTGGAATGAGATGCGCGTCGACAATTGGCCCAAGTCCAGCATACTCATACACCAGTCCCATACCAGCTGGTATAAGCCAAAACTTTGTCGTGCTGTTAACACTAGAAATGAACATGAATAATTAATACAAGATTAATATGTAAAGATATTATTTGGTATAAATTAGTATACCAAAGGCCGAAGCGTAGCCTTCCTCTGACCTAGCTGTTGCAGCTTTACTGAACCTCTTGATAATAAATATAACCTCTATAACCTCCATATACTAGTATATATATTCAACATGCGTCTTGAGGAACTAATTCACTGAAAAGATTCGTCTGGACTATCATGCTGTGGTCCCCTTGCTAAGACTGTCCAGTCTAGCCATTCCCCTTTATCAATGTCAAACTCAAGTCTGTCAGCACCCACAATGTTTCCAAAGAGGAACGAAGGCAGGCCATTATTCTCCGAAGCGTCCTCCCGTAGGCTAAGAGCAGAGCTGCCTTCAGTACTTGCTCTATTTTCTCTCGGGGTTGTCCCTCGATGCTTCGCCCTTATTGAAAGAGCCTTGGCTCTGAGAGCGGTGAGAACTGCTGATTTGGATCCGAACCCGATGGTAGACTTGTCACAAAGTACTTCGGAGAAGTGGATATCCAAAGCCTTCCATGCTCTATCCACGCTCGAGCCTTCGGGTTTAACACAGAGATGCCATAAGACGTACATGGTGATGTGATATTGTGGATAAGCCCTCCTTGCCCAAGAGAATTGCTTTAGTAAACCATCATCATTAAATAATCTTGGTTCCAAGAGCTCCAACGCTTCCACAAGATTCTCTTCTGTTGCAAATTCGTCACTCTTCATAGTGCGCCGTAGAAATGACCATTGCAGTCTCGTAGTAAAGTTGAGTTTTCGGACGAGGAATCGAGAGCAGAGTAACGTCATGCGGTGTTGTGGTATCACGGGATTGCAGTTCTGCAAATACCCCTCAATGCGTGCACTCAAATCGTCAATGACTTTTATTCTTGTATCCTCGGTCGGAGGGGACGAAAGAGACGAAGTTGCGGCAATATCGGCTAGCTTGTGGATGGACTTTGCAAGTTCGATGTTTATGAGGGAGAATGTCATGGCTGTCCAGCTATTTTTGGACTCGGGAAGCTCCTTCATATCTGGAGAGAGATCCGCATCGTCAACATTGAGCGGCAAGCTTACATTTGAACCCAACAACTGCCCACTTGTGTTCTCGAGGCCATAATCTTCTCCTGAGCGGCTATCGCGGCTAAGTAGGTGCCACCATAGTCGACGACGCATTTCGGACTGGAAAGGAGGAAGCCCTAGTCGTAGCCCATCTCGATGTAGGCCTAGAGATTGGGCTATGCGTATTGTGAGACCGTTTAGAATCCAGATCCCCTTGCCGCGGTTGTGGACGCGAAGACCAGACTACGCAAGGGTTAGTCTCGCATCATCCATTAGGTAGAGAAACAGAAAAACAGAAAGAGTTATAATAGGTACCAGATATATAACTAAAGCCAGAAGTCCTGTCAGTGTTGGGCGATCCAAAAAGTCGCCATGCGCAAATGCTTGTTCCAGGCCAGTTTTAAAAGTATTCAGAGCTTCATTCTTATCCTGACCTAGGAATAACCGGGCCTCAACGTCTTCGAAAGAGACTGCAGATGCGAAGTAAATGGCAAAGCAAAAAGCAAGATCATGAAAAGATGCGCTTGCTGGATCGTGAATGACTGAATACACCTTCACTCTGTCAGTGGGAAGGTGAAGAAGTTTGATCAACCCAGAATAGCCATCCACATTTTCTACGTAGTTGTTCCACAGTCTCACAGCCAAAGGCTGGGTAGGATGAAAGGTGTGCGGTTCCTGCAAGAGAGACACGGATGAGAGTATTCCTGCAGGGTTGAATGGTGAGGTAGCGGGCTGATGTGGCGTTCCTGTGTGCGAAGTTGAAAGGACGGATTCTATATCTCGCTCCTGTGAAAGCCAATTAGGGACGAAAGTCCGATAGTCCTTGAACATCGTATGCAGTCTTACCTCTTCTATCACTCTGGATAGCATAACTTCGTTGAAGTATTGGCTTGAAGATCCCTTTTCAACAAGTACATCATCGTCTCTAAGCCGTACTGGTTGCGCTGAAGACGAGCTGCTTGAGTTTTTGGAAACACTTATCCCCAAAGCTGATGAATCCCTACCGTTGGCTTTGGCGAGAGATTTCTCTAGGCTTGAGATGCGAGAAGCCATATCTGCCATAATGGTATGTTTTGCACGCCGTATGCGCCGTTGCGGGTAGGCGCATGGCTTGCCGGCTTGCGTGCAAGGAGTACATGGCTCTTGCTTGTCGCATCGAATCTTTCTGCGATTGCAAGTCTATCCTTGAGAGTCAGATACGACAGCCTCGGGACAGAACAATTCCATGATCGAGCCGCGATGTGGCAAATGGGAGAATTCACGGGCTATAGAATGGGCCAACACATACATAACATGACCGGGACAGTGGGCGGCCACTCCGAGAGTGTGCGGCGGAAGACTCTTGTTCTGGCTCGGCCTCGGAGATTGTGTCGAAAATAAACTCCATGTCTCTTAATTCGGGGCTCATCTTAGTTAGCAGTAAGGGAATCGTGAGTCGGGGAAAGGAGGTCCGAGTAGTATACACTGGATCTTTAAGAGACGTGAACACGGGGCATGAGGTTGTTCAGTTGCCAGAACGGGCCGAGTTGCGCTTTTACTGCCGTGCCGAGTGGATTGAAAATACGGAGTATCAATCCATTAGTAAGCTCAAGGAACCGGGCGCGGGCGCCTTTATTCCCGTGCCCGCGTTTTACTCCCGCTCCCGGCCAGAGTAGAGTCGAGTCATGGTCTCGGCGGATGTCTTAAACCAGCGCTCAACAGAGAGGCTAGGTAAACGAATCACGGTTGATACTCGTCAATTCAAGTAATAAACTCGGAGATAACACACTTAACAAAGATACCGGGCATTCTGGCCACCACATCTTTTGGTCACCGGTGTTTCGGACGAGTTGGAGTTTTAACCCCTGATGTTAACCAAAGCGACATGACCACCTTTTGATGGCGTATAAGTATCTATCTATCATAGCATGGCTTTCTATTAAATATCGTTCAATATATACTCCATTCATCTATCCGAAAGGACCATACTTGTCCATATTTGTTGTCGATAATTGCGTATACAAGCACAAGAGTCTGGTGAGAAATGTCAGATCAAGGCCAAGCTGCAATAGTCGAGAGCCGTCAAGCTATAGGCAACGAGATGACCGACAAGGATCAAATCGGCAACTCCGACAGTAAATCTGGCGTCCCCTCTGTTTTAAAAGATCAGGAGACTGCAGAGACTAAACAGCCAAAGTCACGAGAGGGTGATGCCCCAGATGGCGGAACTGCTGCTTGGCTCGTCGTGCTTGGTGCTTGGTGCGTTTCGTTCTGCAGTTTTGGATGGTTGAATAGTAAGAATATGTTACGTTTCTTAGAGAGCCATTCTTACTGACGGTCGACAGGCATCGGAGTCTTCCAAGAGTACTACCAGACTGATTTGCTCAGCCACTATTCTCCTAGCACCATCTCATGGATTCCGTCGCTTCTTATTGCCATTGTCATGGGTTTGGTGAGTTCTAATACCCCAACGGTAGGAGATACTCGAGACACTAATTCCATCCAGGGACCTTTTGTCGGCACTCTATATGACCATTTTGGCCCACGATGGCTGCTCCTGATTGGCAGCATCATGCATATTTTCGGGGTGATGATGGCGAGTCTTGGTACTCAGTACTATCAGATACTTCTTGCCCAAGGAGTCTGCTCTGCCATCGGTATTTCGGGCATTTTTCAACCAGGTATGAACAGCTCTGCATGGATAGTGTTTGTTCATAATTTAATACTGATACTGACTGGATTCAGCTGTAACAGCTACACTCGGGTGGTTTAATCACAGGCGTGGCGCAGCCATTGGTGTCCTCTTTACTGGCTCAAGTATTGGTGGTATCATCTTCCCTATAATGATATCGCACCTGATTCGTGAACTTGGCTTCGGATGGGCCATGCGTATTTCTGCGTTCCTGATGCTTTTCCTCCTGATAGTGGCGAATCTGACCGTGCGTGCTTATGTTCCGCCACATCCTCACAAGGTCACGCGGGTTGAACTCTTTAAACCTCTAACTGAGATTGACTTTCTTTTACTCATTGGGGGCTTCTTCTGCTTCAGCTACGGCTTCTTTGCTACTATAACCTATCTTCCCGTTCAAGCTCTCAACGCAGGCATGAACGCCGATCTGGTTCAATATCTGCTGCCTATACTTAATGCCGGGTCATTATTTGGGCGTCTTTCCGCCGGAGTTGTGGGCGACAGAATTGGCCGCTTCAACGTCTTCATTGTCGTTTGTTTCCTCTCTGGTATCTGGGTATTAGCGCTTTGGTTACCCGACTCAAGTGACCCGTCGCTCATTGCATTCGCCGTCCTGTTCGGCTTTTTCTCCGGCGCTTATGTGTCGCTCATTACACCCATGGTCGCACAGATCGCGCCACTGCGAGAACTTGGGTTCCGCTCAGGGATCGTTCAGTTTTCTATTGCGATTGGTGGCTTGACAACAAATCCGATTAACGGCGCAATACTAGATGGTGCGGGTGACTGGGTTGGTCTCAAGGTCTTCTCTGGGGTATTTTGTATGGCGGGAACAGCCTTTGTGCTTGCGGCCAGAATCAGGCGCATTGGCTGGAAAGTGTCTATTCGCTTTTGAGTCTATTCCGTTCTCCACATGGACATTCTCTACACAAAAGTATAGATCACTGAGCTAAATTTCCTTTTGAGTTTTATAATTGTAAAGAACCCATTTATGTACTTATGATATTTAATAAATAAAACCTCTACTCTTCAAGATGTTGAATGTACATGTATATATCCAGTTGCTCCCGTAAGTATACTAAATACTATTTGCTATGACAGCCTCAACGCTATGATGTCGGCATCATGGGCCTCATTATATCTAAAACTATAAATAAAAGGATTTAATTAGTTAGTTCTAAAAGGAATTGTGTAGCAATAGTTTTCAGAGAGGCCGCGGTTCTAAGATATTCCACATATAACCAGAGACTAGAACTTGGCTTCATGAATGCATTAACTTCCTTTCAGTTTACCTATAATCTCATCACTCAATCAGCTAGATCATCAAGCAAGTAATGAATGAGAGGGGAACACTTATTCAGTCAGTATCCGAATAAATAACTATGGTAGCAGTTATTACAAAACTCTAGATATAGTAGCGGTTACTATAAGAATATGGATATAATAACAGCCAGTAGAGAAATATAAATATAGTAGTAGGCATTAAAGAAATATAGATATAGTAGCAGATACTAGAGAAGGTATTGCTAGAATAGCAGATACTTGAAAAATGGGTGTATAATTTAACACGTGGGTAGAAGACTCGGCGACTCCCTTTAGGTGTAGGAATAGTAGGATAAACATCACATTCCTGCTGCGTTAAGCTATGCATCGTAATTACTTACCACCCAATATAAACATCAAGCCTGTCAACTCGTCTCATCATATTGACAAACTGCCAAGTTACACTTAGAGTTTATTCTGGCCCGTATGTAGCCCAACAAAACAAGGCTAGCCCCAGTTATAAGTCCAGCAGTCATCATAGTAGATCCATAGCTATCAGGCACGATATGAAGTCATAAAATGTACTTATATTGATAAGCTCTCATCTCCTTGACTTAAAAAGGGCAAGTAGATATAAGCCTAAGCTTATAAGCTAGCGGAGAATAAGCACCCTACTCTTGGCGTTATAACTACATGCCGTGCATATATTTAAACCTGCAGTTGTGATTGATGGCAACCTTGTCTATTAGCTCTCTTACCAACCAATCATTCTTAGCCATTCTTTACCCGACACAATTATAACTTACAAGAGTAATACTGTTGTATAGCAGATTCCTACTTTGCAATTCTTGAAGATCATTCTACTGCTAGTTCTATGAAACTAAAGGATACTCATTGGTTACTTGTGCTGGTCAACTGCTTTTCTTATTCGATTGTGACTAATATTTTTGCATACGGATATTTCCTATAAATATTGAAGTAGATTCTGGTAAGTAATACAACTCTCTCCATGAGCCCAATCCTAGCAAGCATAAGTTTACCCAATATAAAATACGCAGCACGTAAGTTAATACCTCTAAAAGAGAGAATTAAGGCGAATAAAGCGGGCGCCAAGTTGACAAGTTGACAAAAGTTCTCAGCTTGGAATAATTCCAGGGTTTATTATTAAAGTTATAAACCATGTCGAGGTCGGGTGGTTACTTTCAGAGTCTATAAAGCCTGCGACAACCTCTTGAGAATTGGCTCTTACTGCAATTACGCAAGCCAGATCAAGATTTAAGATTTAACTCATTATATCTCATCAAAGTTCGTGTTATTCCAGACATCTTTATTTCTACCATGTGACGCTTCTACGCCACGCTGACACATCGCCTTTAACTAAAGGAAAACAGACCAAATCCTCCCACAGCTATGTATATGCCAACTATTCTCCTCTGGCTCATCAGCGTCTCGGCTTTGGCATCCGCTGCAAACATCAGATGCGCCAATGGTGAGATTGCCATCGGAACCCGGGCCAACTGCTTCCTTGTGGGCCAGGGTTGGGAATGCTCCGCATCGACTGGGGTCATTCTCTCAAATAATTGCGGTACAATTGACGCATCGGAAAACTCAGACTACTGCAATGGCGGCTGGCATGGATGGACGGTCTCCTGTTCAAGTGACGACCATACTCCTTCAATACAGCTTGGGCCTGGCAGGCAGCTCTGGGGTGACTGTTACCAACAGTTCTCCACCTGCAGTGCTGGGCCTACGCAGACCACCTCGGCCGGTTACTATTGCGAGTTCATCGGAACCGTTCCCTCCAAATAGGAACGGCAGGTTATCGTAGCTACTCCAGGGCCTCGCACTAAGAAGCAAGGTAGAGAGTGATGCCACTGATTGGCCTTGTGGGCAGAAAGTTTGGCGTTGCATTTGATTTCAGTGGCTGTAATATTTTACTATTGGGTTATCAACATTTCGTTGTTTCTCACCGATTAAACGAAAATCTATACTTCCAATGACAATTTGCATACATTTCATTGTCTGACATTTTATTGTCCTTTAGCCAGATGAGTTATCTTATACACTCGTATATCTGTTATAGTGTTCTTTGACGGCTTTGTATGTCTCTGTTTCAAGAGGTTATACTAAATGAGGGCTGGTGGGCTTGTAATCTCTCTTACTTGGCTGGACACTCTTTTCTAGTCGGTTTGCTGGGGCCGGCTGGGGTCAGATCTTTGGGGTACCATAAGAATGGCTTTTGACGTTCGAAAGGAAGGTAGTTGGGCACGTTGACTAACCAGGGTGTGAAGTTTGTAGAGCAAGTTCGTGATACACCCGTGATGCTACGATAACCTTTACCAATCCTGTCGGTGATAAGCCGAAACCAGACGGAATAATGTTATTAGATAACTCACTAGTCATATTTGTCATTTTTATTTCACAGAAACAGTGGCTTCCAAGCATGAAATGATTTGATGGATCACCTCCGTACTGCGGCCCTCTTAACTAACATAGGCATTGGCTAAAGAGGTCACATAACCAAGACACCTGAATCATCACATCCACAGGATTCACGCAAACCCAATTCGTTAAATAGGCGAATTGTAATTTGACTAGACAACGGCTTTATTAATTAGTTAAAATAGTTCTCCCCACGAACAATTACTAGGCCATCTTACCGGAACATCGGCAAGTGAGGTTACGGGGAGATGCGGGGAAATAGACCATCGTGGGAAAGCTGTTCCGCTGCGGAGATCAACACACTGAGTACTGTTGGTATGATGGCTTCAGAAATGATCGTATAAGTCAAATTGTTAGTATAAAATGTCTCGGTAGACTCTATAGACTCTGTAACGTGAGGCTTTGCCAAGTAGTGATAGCCCATTTCTGGTAATAGTTGACAATATGTTGTTCAATGCCTTCTCCCTCCTCGGCCTCATATGGCATGCTCTCACTGTCTTTGCTGTGTCCTCACCTACAGTTCATACTGTCAATAGAACATTTTCAGGATTAAACATTCCATCTTTTAAACAAGAAGCATTTTACGGCATTCCATATGCTCAAGCACCTGTCGGGGATCTCCGTCTCCGAAGATCTCTGCCATACAACCAGTCTTGGTCCGGCGTACGAAATGCAACAGTCCGATCTGATTCTTGTCCAGGTTATAATGGATTTCCACTTACTCTTGTTGGTGGTAGTCTTATCGACGGATTTACTCTAGGAGAAGACTGCTTGACCATTGACATTGTCCGACCAGCCAACATCAATCCGTTTGACAAGTTACCCGTCTTCGTCTGGTTCTACGGTGGAGGTAAAATATCCATGTTACCGACCTTTAATTATATAACGAAGCTGATTCCATGTAGGTTTTATTGCTGGGGGATCTGCTGATCCCAAGTACAATCTCTCATATATCGTCCAGAACTCGGTGGAGATGAATAAGCCCATCATGGGCGCTATCATTAACTATCGGACAATGTGTTTTGGCTTCCTGGCGTCTAAAGAAGTTTTAGATGCCAATGTTGGCAATATTGGACTCTTTGACCAGAGACGAGGCCTTAAATGGATCCAAGAGAACATCAAGGGGTTTGGTGGCGATCCTGAAAAGGTAAATACCCCCCACAACAGGTGAACATCTATTTACCTGTGCCAGGTTACAATTGCGGGAGAAAGTCGGGGGGTTCAAGCACAGGATATCACCTCATTGGCTTCAAGGGCAATAATGATGGACTTTTCCGTGGAGCGATCATGGAGAGTGCGAGTTTACTAGGAGCTCCAAGTAAGCCTGGAACTTCTTTAGATAGGCCAAAGAAAGTTCAACTAATCATATAGTTAACGCCCCCGAACAACTAAAGCGAAGCTATCAAGGCATGTACGACAACATTACAACAACCGTGGGCTGCAATACCTCGAACGACAGTTTGGCTTGCCTACGAACTGTTCCATATGACGTTTTACATAACGCGTGTATTGGGTTCCGCCAGACTCCAATCATGGATGGCGAATTCATCTCACAACTGCCGTCACAGTCTATCCAAAAAGGAGAAATCGCCGATGTTTCCATCATTATGGGTACCAATACTGATGAAGGCACCGCTATTTTCTTAGGGCCCCGCGCAAATCCTTTGAATACCGATGCGGATGTATTTAAATACATTCAAGCGCTTGGAAGTGGTCTTGACAATAAAACTGTAGAAACAGTGATGGAGTTATATCCAGATGATCCTACCTGGGGCTGCCCATTCGGAACAGGGCCTGAACGATTCGCAGACCAGGGATTCCAGTACAAGCGTGGCGCTGCTATTGCCGGCGACTATTTTATGCACGCCGGGCGAAGATTTTACGCAAACTCGCACAGCACTCAAGGCCGTAAACCGATATATACATATAGGTTCGACCAAGCACCTTGGGATATGAGGGAGCCCTCTATCATGATTGTCCCGCCGGTCTATGTGACACACTTCTCCGAGGTACTTACCAAATGTGGCGATTTCCACATCTCATCGCTAATCATCAATCGCAGATTGTGTATGTGTTTGACAACCCCAATAACAACAGTAACTTCATTGGGCCCTACCGAAGCTATGCGAAGCTGCAGTCCTTTATGTCGCGATCCTGGGCTTCATTTGTTCATGATCTCAATCCTAATAACCACGGACTCCAAGACCCGAATCTCCCAAAATGGCCAGAGTATGATCCCAAACAGCCTCAAAACATCGTTTTCCGCGAAGGAGGGAGTTTTATTGAGAATGACGATTACCGGAAACCACAATTGGCGTTTTGGGGCACTATCTGGCCAGAGCTACAGACCTGAAAGAGGCTTAATTCACTACAAACGGATGCTTAACCGATTGTGACTTATGATACATGATATGCATGGAAACATATATATGAATATATATACCAAATAATATGTTCAGAAGAAAGGGTCAAAATAATCCGACCGGATCTACCAGACTTACCGGGGTCCTCGGTTCGTAACAACAAGTGATATTTAAGAAGAAGCTAATAAACGCTTAAACGCCAATTATTCCCCGTAGACGGCAACCTTGTCGAGTTTCTTCAATAATGGCATCATTGCAACTAACATTGCTATTATGGATAATGCCGCTGACAAAGAATATATCCTGTAGGCATTGCCCTATGACCGCCATTCCATATTACTACCTCTTTTAATAGTGACATGACCCATAATCACGTAATGCAAAGGATCGTCAATTGAGACGGATTCGATATGTTACACCAGAAAGTAATGTTTGGTGAAAAACAGTAGCAGACATTGAAATATGATTTCCTATGAACAGCTCTCTTCATTCTCCTTGACAACTCCAGAGCTATTTGGCAGAGACGAAATTGGTAAAACCTACTGGTGTCTACCACATTATACGACTATGTCATCAGCTCTGACCAAAGTTTGCTCCAGTATGCCAGCTGTGGTTTCCGATAATCGTCTTTCTCCACCCAGCTGGCACCTGCTCTGAAAACAATATTCTGCGGATTAGAAGTGTCAAATTTGGGCCACACTGGCTTTCCCTGAAGACCGTGGTTGTTTGGGTTCTGATCGTGGATGAATGATATCCAAGACCGAGACACGAAACTGGCTAGCTCTGAGATGATTGGATACGGCCCAATCCAGTTGACATTTTTATCCGGATTATCAAAAACGTGGACAATCTCAGTGTAATGCGTGACATATACTGGTGCAGTCGTAGTGTCATCGACCTCTTCCATATCCCACGGCGCCTGGTCGAAGCGGTACGTAAAAATTGGGTGCTTGCTATGCTGCGAATGGTCGATAGCGTAGGCACGGCGACCAGCGTGGATATTTACATCACCAGTAATGGCGGCGCCACGTTTGTACTGGAAGCCTTGGTCTGCGAATCTCTCGGGCCCAGTGCCAAAGGGACAGCCTTGGATGGGGTCGTCAGGATAGAGGCGGAGGATGTTGGCGACAACCGTGTCGTTGAGACCACCGCCAAGATGTGCGACAAGAGATGAAATGTCACTGTCGTTGTTGAGGGTTCCCCGGGGCGTAAAAAACTCAGCTGTACCCTCGTCTGTGTTAGACCCCATGATGAGGGCGACGTCGGCGATCTCGCCCTTTGCTATTGAGACGGATGGAGGCTGAGATATGAATTTGCCGTCTATATACGGTTTAAACTGGAAGCCATTCACAGCACTGAAAAGCTTCGCGTAAGGAACGGTGCGGAGACAGGCCAGGGAGTCTGCGGCAGTGTTACAGCCGACCGTTGTGGTGATATTATCATACCATCCTTGGTAGGTGACATTCAACGTCTCAACCGTATTCACTATTATGAGCAGTTAGCAAAACATCAATGATAGTCATATTGACTTCAGCCATCAAAGACAACACTCACTAGAAGCACCGAGCAAGCTCGAACTCTCCAGAATGGCACTTCTGAATAGGCCGTTGTTCTTCCCCTTGAATGCCACCAGCTGGTAACCAGCCGAGGAGCCTCCTGCGCTCTCACCAGCAATTGTGACCTTGTTGGGGTCACCGCCGAACGCGCGGATATTCTCAGACACCCATTCCATCGCCAGCCGCTGGTCAAAGAGAGCAATATTACCAACTCCCGCTGCCGCGACCTCTTTGGAGGCCAACAAACCAAACGCTGATGTGCGGTAGTTGGGAACGACGGCGATGATGGGCTTCTTCATATCCATTGAGTTGCGCACCATAAAGGACGTGTTATAGCGCCGGTCAGCAGATCCCCCGGCTTTGAAGCCACCACCATATATCCAGAAGAAAACGGGGAGATTGTCTCCAGATTTAACATTGGCGGGTCTCACAATGTCAAGAGTTAGACAATCCTCGCCCATGGTTAAGCCGTCGGCGAAGCCTTGAGCGAATGGCTTGTCGAACCCAGGGCACGAATCAGACCGCACAGTCGCATTACGAGACCCTTTCCATGACTGATTGTACGGTAGGGGATAACGGAGTCTCAGGTCTCCAAGCGGAGGCGTCGCAAAAGGGATACCATAAAAGGCCTCCTGATTGAAAGTTTCGAGATTGAGACCAGTGTAAGTTCCATTAACGGTATGAGCCGAGGGTGCGTTGTGATGAGGGACAGCTGAAGCACTGGTAGGAGACAAGCTGGCCAAGCAAAAGAGGGCCAAAGAGCACAAAGTTATTGACTGATGGCAGTACATCTTATCTTGTTACAATTGCTTTATCGAAGCATCCTATCACTAACTTTGCAGCTTCACTTGCGGGATGTCATGCAACCCATTGAGAACACCGTGATTCTTTTATAGCCACGATGTTTGCTTTAGAGAGGTATCTCCTTTTCTTCTCGGGGAGCTATACGGCTACACACTATTGGCACTATTCACTACAATAGCCGATATGAATGCTATTAGCTTGAAATCTAGCATGATGGAGCCGCCAACAAAACTCTCCCCGGACTCCCCCGGATTCTCCTCCGAGAGGCGTCCTCTCAGAGCGTTTACCCCACGCCTGTCAGCTTGAATTCATGACGAGAATAAAACTCTCCCCGGATTCTCCCCCGGAGGCGTCCCGATCTCTCCGCATTTTCACCCCACACTTATTAGCTAGATCGAAGAGCCGGGCTAGTACCACATTGTCCAGTCAGCCGGAAATGCGTTCCGGAGCTTTGGGATTTTGTTCAGCGTAAATTGTAATTGCTCATGGTCGTTTCGTGATGAAGTTCGGAACTCGGAAGGCCTAGATTGTAATGGAAGCGAAGTTATATGATGGTGGCTGATGAAGGCCCATGAGTGCCTTGAGCTTCAAGTCGGTGACCTTTTTTGTGAGGTGGAGGAGGATATATGGAACGACGGTGTTCCAGATCTTGTTATTAAACGAGACAATAAGTTCAAGATTAAAAAATAGTAAAATCCATACATGAATTGTAATATGGTTTTCACTGGTCGATTTTGTAGTCTAAAACTTTTGCAAAGAGCGTCATTACGACGGTGTTGCTGAGTGATGCTACAAATGAGCTAACCCTACTAATGTGGCTATATGGACTAGAGAGCTGGGGCCACGTTGGCGTATTCCTCCTGCCACCCTATCAACTGACGCATCAACACTAGCAGCTGCCATCTATCAAGTGTGTAGGAATGGAGTACAGGGATGTAGGAAGCGGGTCGTTCGAGGACGCACATACATGAAGAGCAGTATTGCTGAGAAGCATATTACAAGAGTTAAGTCTAGGGAGCATCTACATATTTTTGGATGCACGCTCTGACAGCATAATCGGCCTTCGGCAACTAATTAACTTTACTGATACGGGATCAACCGTATTTTATAGAGCCACGTGGGTTGCACTTAGTCAAAGAATTCGCAAGCAGAAGTAAGTGGCACAGCAAGAGATGTTGCTTTGCGCCAATTGCGTTCCAGCATTGCGGCATTTGCTGAATAGCACGAGTCAGTTCATTAGCAAGACAGCAATGGGATAAATCAGGATGTTACGAGAGTGGAGGATTTTCCTTTTCAGTGTCAGTCTAAAGAGATGTAGTATTGGACACTCACCACTTACTTTAGCTTCTCTATCCAAGAGCCATCTCGTCCATTTATTATATCTAAACCAGGTATGGATACATCAGGTATAGCTTATTACGATAGGAGAATAAAAGCTACAACGGCGAAATGAGATCAGCATATAAAAAAAAGAGAAATGTAAGAACCATCATGATAAGTTCTATTTACGCAATTCATTTCGGTATAATAAACCCAAAGCATATGCTTATCTATCAGACATAGTATCCTGCATTGACCTTTATAACCTAGCGTCTTACACCAACTCTCTGTCTGCAAGCAAGACATAGATCAGAGTCTGTTGCCGCTGCTATGAACAGGAGGTATAACATGAAGCTACGGAAAACTATATGGTTCTAAATAACTGCCAATATTTTAATTGCTGAATCACTAGTATATAATATTTAACAGATAAATTAGTTCATAGCGTTGCAAAAAAGCTTCTCTACAAGGTAGAGCAACGACACTTCTTCAGTAAAGAGGTGCACCATTTCCAAACACAAAGTTGGGATCCCAGATAGCTTTAAGCTTTCGAAGTTTTGGCAAATTGGCGGCAGAGTACCAGGCGGCTGCACCTTCGTCTCCAAAGGCATAGTTGAAGTAGACATGAGGCGTAGGGAAGCCGCTGGTGATTTGCAGGTTTGTGCGTTGCCCTCTCATGAATCGATCCACTTGGGGCCCGAGAGAGGCATCAGTGTATTGGTTTTGCGTCAGCCTGTGGAAAATGAAATAGAAAGCAGCGGAATTAGCATAGGTTCATACAAGTACAGTAGAGTAACTAACGAGTCAGAAGTACTTACCACCAAATTTGGATATCTCGCCACGGAAAGACGGTCTCAGAGGCTGGTGTCTGGAGAGTTTTCTTGTTACTGTAATATTGAAAAACTGATATCCCCGCGAAAGAAGGATTTGAGATGTAAAAGGCCGCCATATCAGCAAAGTGAGCCTCATAGCTCGCGACATCTGTCTGATTAAAGCCTAAGCTATGAGCACTGATGATATGTCCCCTGTCACACACTCCAGCTGTCTCGGATTGATAATACAGGTCGGTCTGGGGAAGATACGTTACAGATTGGACAACTGGACCCACGGCAACAAACTTGTCAATGTATGGCTGCGCCTCTGATACGGGTCCAAAGTACCAGAGCTGTACAACTATATTCGTTGCGTTGGAAGCCCGGTTGAACTGGATGACAGTTTGGAACGACAGTTTGGCCGGCTGATTGCCATCAAATGTCTTCATAGTCCTCCAGAGTGTACGATTAGAGGCCGCAGCGTACACAAAAGTGACTGCCGTTACGTTACCTTCGTTTGTCTGGTCGTGAATTCCGTAGGTTGCCTCTGTGACGATGCCAAAGTTGACGCCAGCTCCTCGGATAGCCCAGAATAAATCCCTATTTTCCATCGCCGAAGCTTTCACTAATTGACCCTTTGCAGTCACCATTCGGACGGATTTAAGGGTGTCGATCATGAGGCCGTACATGCCCGTCATCATGCCAACACCGGCACCTATGGTCACCCCGATAGCACCCGGGCAGATCGAATTACCAGTTTCTATATCAATCTCAATTTAGTCACTGTATCTTTCTTCTTCAACTTATTCTCACAATAGTTTCATTTAGATACGATGCGCACAACGGACAGGCAATGCTTACGGATTTCTTTGCCCACATTGTACAATCCTGTCTGAACGTCCCATAGTTTGACGCCAGCTCCGACGGTCACCAAATTGTTGGTGGTATCAATTTTGACAGTATTAAAACTGGCGAGATTCACATTGATACCAGTAAATGAGCCTTGGCCTTTTTTCGGGCCATGGCCGCCATTGGTAGCAATGAATGGGATATTGTTTTCTACAGAGATTTTGACCTGTGATTCTCATAAGATCTTCTGAATAACGATAGTGTCGAGGAAATGCGACTCACTATTTTCTGAAGGTCTGCCTCCGTTGCTGGCTTGATTGCACCAGACCAACGCGGAGCTTCCCAAGCCGACCACCGTGGTCCAATAACGGTGGAAAAGTTGGCTTCTGTTGAAGAAGCGATTTCAGTGGCGGGCGAAACCCATGGTTCGTACAACTCTTCAAGTGTACAAGCACCACGCCCGGGGGCTTTCCCATAGACTACCAATCCAGGGGCTACTGTCGCCAAAGCTAAGAGACGGGTCAACATGATTGGAAGAGAACAAAAGACGAAACCAAAAAGATATGCGGGACTTGGGCAATGTAGCAATTGGTAGGATCTGCAGCCTCGGCATGGGACATTATATTGACAGACGGCCATTGAAGCACCAGAGTGCGGAGGGTCACGGAGTAGAGAGCATCCGATTGCTATCAGGTCGTACCAGCCCACCAATTTCTTTAACCATCATCTCATCGCACATTCTGCCCACTTCAAGACATAACTCCGGGGTATTGAATCCATGACAGAGCAACTGTAAGAGTGTTCAGACAGGATGTCATCCCAGTATTATTGTGCCAGGGATAATCGGATGAGAGGATCCATGTGGAGCTGGCTGTGTTCAATAATACTGAATGTAACGCTTTTCCGCAAGCTGACAAAACTTGTCGTCGATTCTGCAGATCTGATTGAATGTCGCATCAACAAAACTCCGCCTGAACGCAGCGTGGTCGCCTTATGTCTAAGCCCCGGACAGCCAGAACTTACAGTAAGAACTTGAGACGGAAGAATCGATACATGTACTTTGGGTATTATTGGTAGCTGTGGTAAGTGGATCTCAGCAAAATTCCTGACTTACTCGTATCTTGCGTCTATCTTTTCGAAGCCGTCGTGAGTTTACCCTGTACTTTCTTATCGACAGACAATTGTTTTTTTTTCAGTTATAGAATTCGACAGTATACTCAATATTATACTCTCATAGAACCCGCTAATGATTCTTTCTTGAAATGCATTTGTCCATTTCCCGTTTCTTCTCAGTTTTGAGAGAGATTGAGTTGGAGAATGGTCGGGATGTTGTATCTTCGCTGTTGTAGACTTCTAGAAAGAGCTTCCCTTAGATACTCACTAAGTAGATAAGACACACAAAAAGGCAGAGCGCATTTCACAAAGAGTCCAAGGATATAATAAGGAAGCCTTTTTTGTCATTTTGTCTGTTCAATTGAGTCTGTAAACTATCTGTATGCATGAGATAAATAGATGCCACATTCAGCACGCAGTGCACAGCTGAAATTGTCAGTTTCACCCAGAAGTCAATCAATTTCCGTTTCTAAACAACCATGACGGACGGGTCACCATCGCCCCAGACATGGTTCGCCTTCCACGACTTCATCTTCCAAATATCACCAACTTTGACGGCGTCACAGTTGAAGATTGCGCCGGTGGTGAACTTGTTAGGGCCAGGCTCAAACCCTTTACCGTGGCGGCAGTGCTGAGCGAGGGACGTGAATGTCACACGGGCTGTTGTTGGCGTATCGATGCTAATGCGAATATTGCTCAGGTAGTGGATGGTGTCGACTTTGATGACATTGTCCCAAACTTTGGTCTTTAATTCTTGCGCGCTGCTGACTGTTGTGCCGGCGACTTCAGCATATATGTCATCGGTCACGGCCGACCAGTAAAGCTCTTCGTCGGCGTGGTCAATAGAGGCCGTAGTGCGGTAGACGGCATCAGCGATGGCCTCCCGGTCACTCAAGGGCGGACCAGCAAGTATGACGGGCAGTCGAGTAGCAGGCATGGCGTCTAACTGCGGACAATTAAAAGTGCGTAGAGTGTGGGTCGGAATGCAGGTCAAGATGGCGTGTCTGAACCAAGAAACGGCCTCGATAACATGTCGGCGTCCTATTGACTTCTTATGTATCCAAATGTCGGTACTACAGGCGGGATTACATCTCGAATAATAGAATTCTCGGCGAGGCTTGCCAAACGGACTCAATCAACCGTTACTCTAACTAGTGGACATGAATTACATACCTATGGCGGATTTGTCCGCGGAACATATACAGTCCGGCGAGCCAAGAGAATATGCGAGCACTAAAAGGCACCGCCATACTCCGGACAAGTTGTCAGCTGAATAAAGTCCTGGTAGCCTACAAGGATGTATTGCGGAATCAATCCAAGGCCAGGCTCCAGGTGATTGGTCATTGACGCAAGATCCTACGGTAGTAGACCAGCGGTAACCACGTTCTGGACAGGAGCTGATAGCAGGGGTATTTTATCTTGTGTATTACTCAAATGATTTCCCCCAGATACAGAAGACTTTGGCGGGATAATTGTGTACGAGTAAGCCAAATGTCCTACCTTGGCCAATTGACCATAGAGCCGTACTCCGTACTCCGTGGCAAGGTCCGCTTTAGTGTAACCTTGAGAATGTTGGCATTTTGATAAGGTTGTTGTTAAACAATTGACCACCGCTTCAATTCTCACACAGGAGCGATGCTAGAGCCTTTTCGGACAAAGACTCTCCCGACAACGGTAGCCAACTCTACCGGCCTTTTAGTGACCATAATGGACCCTCGCTTATCGTAGATTTCGAGTTAAAGTCCGTATTGTGAGAAGACTATCTCTAAATCAGAATAGACAAACCCTCCGCATTAACATAGAGAGACTTTGCTATGAAATTGGTGCGATAAGAGTGGATCGGCCTTGTTAGCAGTAACCAACTAGTTAAGAAGAATCTGGGACCACCAGACACTCAGACACTCTAGATATTGCAGCTCTTCACTTGATTCAACTCAGTGTTGCCTTGGATAACGATCTCTTCACATTTCAACCGATCCAAAAGTCCAAACGTCAATTAGCTCGTCGCCATCTTTGGCTCATATTTATTAGTTCTATTCAAGAGCAACTGAACCGCTACATTGTTAGTATTCAAGGTCAAATCATCTTACTTCTTTGAACCAAGATGGACGACTACCGTGAGTTGGCTAGTGAGCCAATTGCCATCATTGGTATGAGTTGCAAGTTTTCCGGTGGTGTCACCGACCCAGAGACGCTGTGGGACCTCTTGGCTTCAGGAAGGACAGGATGGAGTGAGATACCCGAAGAACGGTTCAACCTCAAAGGAGTTTACCACCCCAACAACGAGAGGATCAGCACGGCAAGTCAACTTGGCCAGCAAGGAAGCAAACCTCTCAGCGCTGACAACTAGACAGTCACACGTCAAAGGAGCGCATTTTATCCAAGACGACGTAACATGTTTTGATGCCGCGTTCTTCAACTACTCAGGCGAGACGGCGCAAGCCCTCGATCCGCAATTCCGGATGCAACTCGAATCGACATTCGAGGCATTGGAGAATGGTAAGTAGCTTCCCCTCACCTCTTCCATGGATTCCTTACTCTGTGGAGTCTTTCTGCTAACCGCAAACCCGAGTTAGCTGGCCTCACGATGGAGCAGGTGGCTGGATCGCAGACGTCCGTCTTTGCTGGAGTGTTTACGCACGACTATCACGAGGCCCTAGTGCGTGACGAGGACCGATTACCGCGGTTCATGTTGGTGGGCACTTGGAATCCGATGTCATCGAACCGCATTTCACATTTCTTCGACTTCCGCGGCGCCAGCATGACCCTTGAAACGGGTTGCTCAACCACCTTGGTTGCACTTCACCAGGCCGTTCAGAGCCTGCGTAACCGAGAGGCCGATATGTCTGTGGTCACCGGTGTCAACTTGATACTTGGTCCAGATCAGTTTAAAGCCATTGGCTCGCTCGGCATGCTGTCGCCGGATGGCAAATCATACGCGTTCGACAAACGAGCCAACGGCTACGGGCGTGGTGAAGGAGTCGCGACCATTTTGATCAAGCGACTGTCAGATGCGCTGGCCGCCAATGATCCGATCCGCGCCGTCATCCGTGAGACGGCCCTCAACCAGGATGGCAAAACAGAGACCATCACGACGCCCTCGGGAGCCGCCCAGGAGACGCTCATGCGTGAATGCTACCGGCGAGCCGGTCTTGATCCGCGTGGCACGCAGTATTTTGAGGCCCACGGTACAGGAACACAGGCTGGCGATCCGATTGAGGCGCGGGCTATGGCCGGCGTCTTCTGCGGCGTCGATGAAGACGGTACCGGCGGCCGCGACGAGGCACATTACCTTCGTATCGGCTCAGTCAAAACAAACGTGGGCCACACTGAAGCGGCTTCGGGTCTTGCAGCCGTGATTAAGGGAGTCTTATGTCTCGAGAGGGGGCTGATCCCACCCAGCGTCAACTACGAAACACCCAATCCGAAGCTCAAGCTAGACGAGTGGCGTCTCAAGGTGGTAACGGCATTGGAGCCATGGCCTGAGAGCCTCATCGGGGGTCCGAAGCGTTTGTCAGTCAATAACTTTGGATATGGCGGTAGCAATGCGCATGTTATCATGGAGAGTGCCGAGCCGTGGACCTCGACGCCGATTCTATCTCTCCCAACCAATGGGAGTCTGAATGGCAATGGCCATGTAAACGGAAATGGCACCAACAACCGTCATTTGAACGGCAATGGAATTGGCGTCATCAAGAGCCACTTGAACGGTAATGGTTATATGAATGGGACTCACAAAACGGCTGGCAGTAAAGTGCTGGTTTTGAGTGCTCGTGACGAGCGTGGCTGCCAGCGTATGGTGGAGGACATGAAGACATATCTGGAAAAACACAAATCACTCGACTTTGAGGCTTCTGAGTTGCTACTACGCGATCTCAGCTATACGTTGGCGGAGCGCCGTACCCCTTTCCCGTGGGTGGCAGCTCATCAGGTCCGTTTGGAAGTCAACGGAGACACAGGCTTAGACAGCCACCCCCTGGACGCTGTCATCGAAGCCTTTGACTCGCCGAGATTCAAGCCTAGCCGCACACCTACTAGCCAGACACGTATTGGCATGGTATTTACCGGTCAGGGAGCGCAATGGAACGCCATGGGGCGTGAGTTGCTCGAAGAATATCCAGTGTTTCGACAGTCCATCGACGAGGCCGAAACTCACCTACATGACCTGGGAGCCTCCTGGTCGCTGCTGGAGGAACTACAGCGTGATCCCAAGACAACGAGAGTACACGCGACATCTGTTAGCATCCCCGTGTGCGTGGCGGTGCAGATCGCGCTGGTTCGCCTCCTCAAGTCTTGGGGCATCAAGCCCGCAGCGGTCACTAGCCACTCGTCCGGTGAGATCGCGGCAGCCTATGCGGTTGGGGCGTTGACCCATCGCCAAGCTATAGCAACGGCCTACTATCGTGCCGTTCTGGCGGCTGATGAGTCGAGCCGCGTGCCTGGAGCGCCAAAAGGAGGCATGGCGGCCGTCGGCCTCGGCGCGGACGATGCGCGGGAATATCTCGATAGAGTTGCCGATGTAGGCAAAGTCGTGATCGCCTGCGTCAACAGCCCGCAGAGCGTCACCGTCTCGGGTGATAATGACGCCGTAGCGGCCGTCGAGGCTCTATGCAAAGAGGAGGGTGTGTTTGCGCGCAAGCTCAAAGTCGAGCAAGCATATCACTCTCACCACATGGACCCTTTGGCAGACGCTTACCATGAGCTTCTATGCAAGGAGATGGCGCGGACGGTTACAAAGACGCTGGAAACAGAGACAGAAGAGGAGGAGGAAGACGGTGAGCTCAAGGTTATCTTTTCTTCAGCCGTCACCGGCGGCCGCATCACAGACGCCAAGGAGATCGCCGACCCCGACCACTGGGTTGGCAGTCTGGTTCAGCCGGTGCTGTTCGTTGACGCCTTCACAGACATGGTGCTTGGCGACACTGAAGATGCCAGCGGCCGCAACATCGACGTGGTGCTCGAGGTTGGTCCGCACACGGCTCTGGGAGGACCCATTCGAGAGATCATGGCACTTGTCGAGTTTGATGGCATCGAGTTGCCCTACTGGGGCGCTCTGGTGCGCAACGAGCATGCTGGCGATACTATGCGTACAGCGGCCATCAACCTGCTACGGGAGGGTCTGCCGGTTGTCATGAGCGAGATCAACTTCCCGAAGCCATCGTCATCTGACCGCTGGCACCTCTATGATGCCGACTTGCCTCGCGTGCTTGCAGACCTGCCCACCTATCCTTGGAATCACTCAATGCGCCACTGGCAAGAGGCTCGCGTCAACTATGCCATCCGGACGCGCAGCCAGCCACCACATGATCTGCTGGGCATGCTAGTCCCGGGAACTGACCCGGGCACGGCCATCTGGCGCCGCTTAGTGCGTGTTTCCGAAGTGCCTTGGGTCCGCGATCATATGGTTTAGGGCAGCATCGTATATCCGGGCTCCGGCTACGTCTGTCTGGCCATTGAGGCCGCCAACCAGTTGGCCAAAGCCGAGGGCCATCAGGACAACATTTCGGGCTTCCGCCTGCGTGATGTCGACTTCATGTCAGCCCTTGTGATCCCGGACAGCGCTGAAGTCGTCGAGATCCTAACCAAGCTGAGGCCCGTGCCGGAGAGGGAGCTCGGCCTCCGGGGCTGGCGGCGCTTCGAGGTGTCGACGGTCACGCCCGAGAACCAGTGGACGCTGCATGCTCAGGGCCTGGTTACCGTCGAGCTGCAATCCAAAGATGGAGATGAGGAAGATGGCAATCAAACCTCGGGAGGTCTCCGTCCCCTATCGGCTTATACGCGCCACAAGGACCCACGAGATATGTTTGCCCATCTACGAGCGCGCGGCGTGTATCACGGCCCCTTATTCCAAAACACTACAAAGATCGTACAAGATGGCCGTGAGCCGCGATCAATAACAGATGTCACAGTTCGGTATGAGTCGGCGGCCGACACTGACCCGGTAGCGGCCGCGCGAGAGAGTGTATTGCACCCCATCACGCTGGACGCCGTCGTGGTATCGTTCTTCTCAGCACTGCCGGGCGTGGGAGCGCAGGTCGAGGACCCCAGGCTGCCACGGTCGATCGAAGCCATGTGGGTGTCAAGCCGCATCAGCCGTGAAGATGGCCACACATTGCGCTGCGACACGTCGCTTTCGCACGACAACCCGCAAGGTGGCCGTGCCGACGTGATCGTTGTCGATGGTCAGACCGGCGTGACGGTGCTCGAGATCCAGGGACTCGCCTGCTCCTCTCTCGGTCGTGGCAGCGGAGCCATGGCACGCCAGGGCGCAGCCAACGGCACTCAGGCCAACGACTGGGAGCAAGATGTTTGCAGCAAGGTTGAGTGGGCAGCCGATTTATCTCTGCAACAGCCAGTGGCACTGGCTCAGATCAAGGAAGAGCTGGCTAATGAGGCAGATGTGTCCGCGGCTGTTGTTTCCAGTCTTTCTCGTGCCGTTGTCTATTATGCAGATGAGACTCTCAAGTCGGTCACTGCCGACGACGTGGATCAGCTGAAAGACCAGCAGCCGCACCTCGTCAAGTACTATGCCTGGCTTTCACAACTAGTCACACAAGCTGACAGCCGGAAATGGCTGGTGGATAGTCTGGAAGAGCGCCAAAAACACTTTGCCGTCGTGGCCTCGCAGGGTGTTGATGGCGAGTTGATCAGCCGTCTCGGCCCCATGATCAAGTCCATCCTTCATGGTGAGAGCAACCCGACGGTGGCAATGGCGAAAGATGGGCTGCTGTACAGGTATTATGCCCATTCCGTGCGTCTGGCACCGTCACTTACACGCCTGTCGACGCTGGTTCGTAAGGTTGCCCACAAGAATCCAGCTGCCCGTGTTCTGCAAATCGGCGCCGGCACTGGGGCTGCTGCCACTCGGCGTATTCTCGAAGCTATTGGTACTCCTAAAACCTCTGTAATAGCCGGCTGGCATATCGCCGAGCCCTCAACAGATATTTTGGAAGATACCCAAGCCGAATTGGCCGACTGGGCTGACTTTTTGGAGTTCAGCGTGCTCGACATCAACCGGGACCCGTCCAAGCAGAGCTTTATACCCGAAAGCTATGATATCGTTGTATGCTACCAGTCTTTGCATTTGGCTGAAGATGTGGCTGGAACTTTGGCCCATATTCGAAGCCTGTTGAAGCCCGGAGGCAAGCTGCTGTTAGCAGAGACGACTCGAGACCAGAGTCAGGTGGACTTATCTTTCATCCTTGGCCTGCTGCCTACTCCAGTCTCACCCGTTTCAATATCATGGGATAGCGTGCTTCGCGAATCTGGCTTTAGCGGTACTGACATTGCCATCGATGATACCACAACCACCATCCTATCCACGCGGCCAATCGTCGAGCACCAGAGGCCGGATCTGAGACGTGCCAGCAACCCTGGAGGCTTTGCCATAGTAACTGGCAATAAGACGCCTGCGCCAGCCGGCCTGGTTGATTCACTATCACAACGTATACATGAATTGACAAAAACCACCGTGAGTCATCTCGTGCTGGAAGAGAGCACCGCTGGAGCATATGAGTCCAAGGTCTGCGTTTTTGTCGGTGACATCGACGAGCCTACCCTGCTGACCGACCTCGACGCCATACGCATTGAGGGCCTTCGTGCTATGGTCACCAAGTGCGGCGGCCTTCTCTGGATCACGACTGGTGGCGCCGTCGAGAGCGAGCGTCCCGAGCAAGCACTTGCCCAAGGCTTCTTGCGAGTTCTCCGCAACGAGTACGTCGGCCGGCGCTACCTCTATCTAGACCTGGATCCTCGCGCCGAAAAGAACACTGAGAATATTGTGTCCACCATTGTTCAAGTTCTCCAAGAGGGTTTTGGCCAAATACAAGACATTTTGGCTACTGAGACTGGCTCAGCTGAGTTTGAATATGCTCAACGCAACGGCGTATTGCTGATCCCGCGTGTCTACAAGGACGAGGAGTACAATGATTTGGTCACCGGCCCGCTCACAGCAACTTGGGGTGATCTCGATGCTGCTGCTGCTGGCATCCCCTTGGAACCCCTATTTCAGCAGAACCGGCCATTGCGGCTGGAGGTCGGTATCCCGGGACACCTGGATACGTTAGCGTTTGTGGATGATGAAGACGATGATGACACAGATGAGAGTCCTACCCCTGAAGCCGTTGAGATCACGCCGCGGGCCTTTGGCCTCAGTTCGCGTGATGTTATGGCTGCCTTGGATCAATTGAAAGATCGCTCCATGGGTCTTGAGTGCGCCGGCGTAGTCTCCCGTGTTGGCGACGAAGCTCAAACAAAAGGCGGCTTCAATGTCGGCGACCGTATCATGGCCCTCTTGCCTGGAAGCGGCAGCGCTTCTCTCCGCAGCAACATCTCGGTCCCCTGGAACGGCGGTATCGTCAAGGTACCCAGCAGCATTACCAGCTTCGAAGAGGCCGCATCTGTGCCATTGGCTTTCACAATCGCGTATGCTGGTCTCATCGATGCTGCACGTCTTGCACCAGGACAGTCTGTCCTTATTCACGCTGCATCTGGAGCCATTGGACAGGCCGCCATTATGCTGGCGAAGCATCTCGGTGTCACGGACATCTATGCCACTGCCGGAACACCTGAGAAGCGTGAGCTCGTCAGTAAGAAGTACGGAATCCCTGCTCAGCGAATCTTTAGCAGCCGTGACGTCTCATTTGGTCCGGCTGTCCTGGCCGCCACAGGCAGGCGTGGTGTTGACGTCGTGCTCAACACGCTGCCCGGCGTCTTACTGCAGGCCAGCCTCGATGCCCTCGCGCCTCTCGGCCACCTGGTTGAGATCGGCAAGCGTGATATTGAAGCCAACGGCCTGCTCGCATTGGCGTCTTTCTCACGCGGCATCTCAATGACGGCACTGGACATTCCAACTCTGGTGCAACGGCGCCGCGCCGACGTTCACCGTGTGCTTTCCGAGGTTGCCAAACTCATCCAGGAACAGGCCCTGACGCCAGTCTATCCCGTAACGACCTATTCTCTGCCTGACGTCCAGGAGGCATTCAGATTTATAGAAACCGGCGCACATACCGGCAAGGTCGTCCTCTCGGCCGGGCCGGACGAACAAGCTCCGGTAATACCACGACCGAAACACGCCACCGGCCGGCTCCGGCTCCGGCTCCGGCCTGATGCCTCGTACCTTGTCGTTGGTGGCATCGGTGGCATCGGCCGCTCAATCGCTCACTGGCTGGTGTCTCACGGCGCCAAGAACCTGATTCTGCTGTCACGCAGTGCTGGCAGTCTCGATTTGCCAGACAACAAGGACACCAATGGAGCACTGTTCGTCCGGGAGCTGCGCGAGTCTGCCGGTTGCCGCGTCAAGCCTGTAAGCTGCGACATATCGCTAGCCAGCGACCTGGTGAAAGCTCTACGTGCCTGTGTAGATGACGGACTCCCGCCTGTGCGCGGCGTTGTCCAGGGCGCCATGTTGTTGCGCGATGCCATCTTTGAGCAGATGACGCTGGCCGACTGGCATGGCGGCTTGCGGCCCAAAGTCGACGGCACCTGGAATCTGCACACCGAATTCGCGGCACCAAACACTCTGGACTTCTTCGTCATGCTTTCGTCTGTCTCAGGCGTTCTGGGCATCGCATCGCAGACCAACTATGCCGCTGGTGGCTCGTATGAGGACGCCATGGCGAACTGGAGACAGTCCAAGGGGCTGCCGGGCATCTCCATCGACCTGGGCCCAATTGCCGATGTTGGCTACGTTGCTGAAACCGCCAAGGTGGCTGAGCGTCTGCGCAAGTCTGGAGACTATGTCATGCTGGACGATAACACTGTACTTCGAGCGCTTGAAGCCGCCGTGGCACGGCCGCTCGGTGGCCGGCGCCAGATCATTGTCGGCCTCAACGCCGGGCCAGGGCCGCAATGGGATGCTCACGGTGGCTCACAGCTTGGACGAGATGCTCGCTACGTGAACCTGAAGCCCCGGAATAAGGTATCGCGTGCGGCGCCGGACGGTACAGCTGGTGGCAAGCTTTCACTCGCTTCACAGCTAGCCGAGGCCAGCTCGCGAGATGAGGCTGCTCGTATCATCGGCGCCGCCATCGCCGACAAATTGGCGAGCATATTCATGATTGACGTGGCAGAAATCGACCTCGGCAAGAAACCCGCCGGCTATGGCGTTGACTCGCTCATCGCAGTCGAGTTGCGTAATATGCTGGTCCTTCAAGCTGGCGCTGACGTCTCCATCTTCAATATCTTGCAATCTGCCTCCCTTGCTGCTCTGGCTGCAGACATGGCGGCAAAGAGTAGTCATGTTCAAGCGGCTGCTTAAGCTTCTTCCTTTTTTTTTCTTAATTGTTTTGGACTTGTGTAAGGTTGTCTGTTTGGACTGTGATGAAATTCTCAATGGGCAACAAAAGAGGTATGAAAAGGTGCTGATTGTATATACAAATACATATACTATATTTTGATTTGATTGTGATTTGTTTCTTTATTCGTTTCGGCTATTTGCTAATCTTGTCCTATTCCAACCATAAATTCGATCCAGGATACTACTTCGTTGTAGCATCCTCCTCGTTGGTCTTGCAATATTCAGACTTGGCTATTTTACAGGGTCGTATAAGTACATACAATGATTATTTCAGCTGCCACAGCTTATTATACATGCGAATACTGTTATAGTCAAACTCAAGAGTGCTGATATAGTCTTGTGCTAAAATATTGACATAGCGTAGACTTCGAAGCAAGAAAAGCAAACTTTCTACCTCTTTATCATTGCTGCCAATACTGCCCATGCAGTTGGCGTTGCCGCTTACATTTCCTGAACTTCTGGTGTCAGTGACAGATTTGGTATGTCGGATTAAAAAGTCGGCAGCACAGGCAAGCGGATCGGCCATGAACGGGTGCAACGCGAAGCAACCAAGTGATCTAACCGACCTGGCAAGACGCACCATGTCGACTGCCGCCCGCTCAGCTCGCCATTTATATGAGGTGGCAAGGAGCTGGCGGTCGGCAGCCTTTTGTTGCTGCTGCCTCTGCCACGGCACGGTCTCTAATATGCTATCAAGATTGATGATTATCTTCTGGGCCAGCATGTATGCGAAGATCATCATGGGGTCGCGGTTAGCCATTGTGAAGGCTGGGCTTTGCGCAAGCATCTGGTATCTCTTATCCATAGCCAACACCAATTGCTCGTGTCTTGCCCAGAACTCCTGAGCGCCGTCTGCTCCAGTGCTGACCAGCGACATGCGTCGATGGGCCATGCAACGACCTTGCAGTGCCGCTAGTACGACGCATTCTGCGAATGGTGAAAGTGGTATCGTTGTAGAGGCATCAGCCTGGGTGTTATCAGCCATGGAGAGCACTTCGGATAGGAAGCACATCTGGATCGGCTGGTTATTCTGAAAACTTTCCTCAGGGGCAGGGAGACGCGTGCGGACGGCTTCTTCCTGCAGCGTCAAAGGCCACTCGTTGCGTGAGCAGAGAAAGCGATCAAAGCCAAATGCCAGCCAAAAGGTTCGTCTCTTCTCTTCAGTCACCGCATATGAAAGATCCTCCTCATGCTCGTCGCTGTCAGAGCCATCAAATGGATTTAACGGCATGTCATCAACACCGCCGCTGCTGCTACTCTCATCAACATCGTAGAGGCGTGCCAATTGCACAAGTCGAAACGCACGTCCCGCCGTGAGCATTGCCTGATGCTCATCAATACGTAGAAATTCATAGTGTGCTAGGAGAAGCCAGGCTTGGACCAGCTCAATAGGAATCTGCTGGCCGGCGCAAGACTTGGGGGGGCCGGGGTCATTGATGTTGTCGATCGATGTACTACCACTTCTACTTAGTTTTCGCGTGTGCTGGGATTCTAGTAGTTGACACGTCTCTTGGTAAAGAGCATCGCCAAGATTGTGGTATTGTGCCGACTTGGCCGCTGCAACGGTATGCATGGCTGACCGCAGACATTTCCGAGCAGGAGATGGATTCTCTTCATCTGCCCAACTAAAGTACCGCCGGCGGTGTATCATTGGTATGGTATGGTGGACGCGATCAAAGTACAGTTGATTCCTGGAATTTACGAATGGGAGAGCCAGAATGTTAGAATACGTAGCAAAGAGGAACAAAGAGGTCAGGGAAAGATTTCACTAACAGATCGGCCAAGACCAAATTCGTCCTCTTAAACTCCCCGAGAATCTGAACCGGACTGTTGGGCTCGAGGTCGAACTGTAACATGTCTCCCATGTCTGCCAGTATCCCAGTGCTGCTGTCCATATCCATGTCTTGCCAATCCATCAAGGCATGGAGGTCGGTGCTTGCATTATGCTCCGCGGCCGGGAATGTGGGCATTGCTGCAGCCGTGCTTGTGGTTGGTGGTACGGCATCGTTGGACGCGGAGGTAGAGAAGATGATGGATGTTGCGGTCGATGATGCAGGCGTCACAGCTTGAAGGGCCGATGTGCTCACCAGATGGGAAGTATTGGTTGGATTATCGACATCGAGCGTAAGAGGCTGGATAGTGGTTGCAACGGTGCTACCACATGGAGCACCTGCTGGTATCGAATCCGCCGTCTTGGGTCTATTGACTTGCTTCCCAAGTTGCCATTCGAGTTCGGCTAATTAAAGCAGCTGACATTAATGCAACGTCCTTCAATGTAACCCCCGCCAACGTCCCGGAATCAATGGAAACATCATGACTCATACAGGATGGGGAGGGGTCTGATAGAAACAACAATGACAAGAAGACACTCACCAATCCGTGTCCGCATCTCATCCAGCTGTCCTTTCTTGGGACCGCGCTGTGGTCTCTGTTCAATCACGACACAGGCAACTCCCATCTCTGCGCAGAGGCTGCACTCTGGACGCATGCGGTCACATCTTGCTTTGCGCCTCCGGCAGTTTTCGCACGCGAATCCTGCTTGTTGCCGAAACCCTTTCGTTTTCATGGCGGGTTGTTGATATGTAATTTGAATGGCGACACAGCTTTGCCTACGAGAGAAGATTATGGGATGAATGTAATTGCAGGACGTACAACGTCGTAGTAGCCATTGGCTGACCACCACAACAGCTGGTGTCTGATAGGCTGGATTCAACTTAAAGACGTGGAATGCGACGTCTTCTGGCCGATTGTGGCATGTTAATCACTACCTGGATACACAGAACTGCGTGGGATCTGCGCGGGATCTACGTGTCTTTTTCTATCCACCAACAAGGCATTTTCCAGCTTGTCATACCTCATTGTTTGCGACCACCACTCTGCAATAGCAAGCACGCACGGGTAAGTGGTGTGCGGCAACTTCTCGACAAGGAATAGACGAGAATAATCCTTCGAGTTTGCCCCTTGAATTGCAGCAAATCTTACGGCATCGTGTCAGATTCGACTGAACGTCTCTCCGAGCAGGCAGTGAGATATCAGGCGGGTAAAGTACCGATTATTATTATCTTAGCTTCTCTACAAACTGGCAAAGTAAATGCGCTCAGTATACCCAACTTGGGGTTTCTTGATAACGCAATACAAGTTACTGAATCATACCCGAATGACTCTAGTAGATAACAGTTTTAAACCGAGTCATCCTTTTTCCACATTTGTCTGTATTACTGAGTGTTTCATTCTGTATCTCTTTACGGACAGGTTCCCAGACATGGACGAGTGATATATGTATATAGTTACCACATTAACATATTCGTTGTATAAGACTTTTCGAAATAAAACAACGTTTTTATTCATTTGTTTTTATTTACTTTCGCCTTGTCTCTATTTTAGTATACTCTACCCCGTAGTAGCTAGCAACGTGTTTGCCTGCATGCGCTGCTTCATTGCCCCTGTCCCGAAGCCCTGGTCGTTTTATATTCAACCTGAGTACGTCTTCAAGAGGCTTGCATCGGCTAAATGATCTCCAGTCAGCGCTTCAATTGACCAGAACCGGCCAACCGCGTAGCAACGTAAACGCTCTTCTTGACCTAAAGCGATTTTTTTGAGCCACAAATCATCCCACAGCGCGTCCGACAAGGCATCCTTCAGAGATAATAAGGCATCCTTGGCTCCCACGCAGATTGTGCCTCCTTGACAGCCCATTGGTTGCAGATTAGTTATCCATCCGCAGCCCACAATCCTTCCAGTAACAAAATGCTACACAAAGTCGAGCAGCTGAAGGGATGACACGAGGAGAAACAGGAAAGACAGGTAGCCGGGGCTACGACAGAAGCCGTGCCATCCCTGCTCCTGCACTCCGGCTTCCACCATCACCTTGTCACTTCTGTACCCTGGCAAACATGCACTTACCAAGGCATCAGCTGCGTTTGAACAAGTTGACTGCGTTTAGAATCTAGGCCTGGTTTTGTATAAACAACGTGGGGCTGCTGAAAACATACTCATAAATGCTCCGACTAGCGTTGTTTGCTAAAATGGGCAACCTTGACGTTAGATAAGAAACAGGAACCGGATTCCAAGACTCCGTCGTCCTCTGGTCAGCAAAGGAGGGTGGGCCCCACCGGTATCTAGATTCCTGAGTATTCCGGCTATGCATAGCTTTAGTCCCTCGATCGACGATCATCATGGCGGATAATGTGAAGTTAGGGCTGTTGAGGCTCCGGCCCGGCCGACGCTAAGTGTTGAATCAGTCCAGGCAGACAAACACCGAACTGTGCTCCGCTATTATCAATAGGTACCTTATCGTGCTCTTTTCATGTTGTATTTCATAAGAGAAAACCCCTTATACGGATCAGAAGATATAAATTATGTACATATTAGAAAACTTTCTGTAGGGCATAAGAGTTTTGTCAGTATTACTTACGTAGAGCGCAACTTATGTAGTTTGACTGGCTGTGAATTGGACAAAAGAGCCACCTGAGCCAAGAGTTTCAAACAATGTACATTGTATTCACAGCATCCTTTAGAGTGACCAACTACTTCCTTCGTGTCTCCAAAAACACTACGCTGACAGGACTAGCACATGTGGAGTCCGTTCAGTTACAACAAGTACGAGCATGTTCTATATCTAAGGTACGGAGTTTATATCTCGATTGTAAAGCCGCCCACACCAGCATGTAAGACTGTTATAACTTCCGTCCGAGAGGTTCGTGCTTATGCAGCTCCGGCAGGAATCAATACCATGCACTAGCATGGTTTTATAATGCTTGATTGAGTCCCAAGTGGCGAGTGAGCCGCACGACTTGGCCCAATCAAGATAAACGAAAACGGAAGCGAGACGGCATTCAATGTCCGTGTAGTCGAATAACCACGCCCGAGCTTCGCGTTATCATATAGCGGCGCCGGCTGCTAACCCCAAGCGCTGTCCTGACTTTATCATCAAACAATCACATGCTTTTGTGCTCCCACACACTACACAACCCTGGCTCAACATCCATCTGACCTGCAAATACAGCAATGGCCCAGACTCCAGAGAACAAGGCGGCCTGGTTGCCAGCCTCCAAAGTCACGCCGCTTGAGATTGGCCCAGTGCCATACACAGCCGCTGGGTCCCACCAGATTGTGGTGAAGAATGGTGCTCTGGGCATTAACTCGGTCGACTGGGCAAAGCAATTGCTTGGTGAGGGCTTGCTGGGCTATCTCAGCTATCCCTTCATCCTGGGAGAAGATGTGGCCGGCACCGTTGTCGAGGTGGGCGAGGGCGTAGAGCGCTTCCGCGTCGGCGATCGTGTCGTGGCCACGGCCTCTGCCATCTCTGTCAACAACGCCGTCGAGGGCGGATTCCAGCTATACACGCCCATACGCGAGTGGATGGCCGCGCCGCTGCCAGACACCATTTCCTTTGAGCAAGCCAGTGTGCTCCCGCTGGCCATCCTCACAGCCTCTCACGGCTTGTTTGATAGCGAGTACCTCGGCCTGGCCTTGCCCACCGTGCCTGCGCGCCAGCCCAGCAGCGGCAAACGAGCCGTCATCATCACCGGCGGCGCATCCGCTGTTGGCAGCACCGCCATCCAGCTCGCGGTTTCTGCCGGCTATGATGTTGTGTCGACGGCGTCGCCAAAGAACTTCGAATATGTCAAGGCTCTCGGTGCCACGCACGTGTTTGACTACAAGAGCGACACCGTCGTCGACGATATCTCTGCCGCTGTGAAGGGCCTCCATCTCGCCGGCGGCTACTCTATTGGAGACGGCTCTGTCAAGCTGCTGGCAGCCGTCCTTGCCCAGCACGAAGGCCCCTCCATCAACAAATTCATTGCTCTGGCTGGCGGCCAAGGAGAAGGCACCAATGACCCGAGTATTCAGGTCAAATTCATCTTTCTCGGTCCGGATTCTGTTGGTCCTGACGCCATCGTGGGTAAAATTTACACAGACTTCCTTCCAGAGGCACTGGCCAAAGGACAGTTTGTGCCAGCACCTGACGCGACGGTCGTGGGCAAGGGACTAGAAAAGATTCAGGAGGCTTTTGGAGTCCACATGCAGGGCGTTTCGGCAAAGAAGATCGTTGTATCACTATGAAGACTGGTGGTCTTTATATAGATGTTATCTATTAGTAGCTATCTACATAGAAATTGAAAGCCAACAACTATTATCAAGCCACTGGATGTCAAACGCGCAATATTTGGGTATGCAGCCCATTACTAATGTGCATCCGTTCTGATTCATATACATGTATCGTCCTCTTGGAATAGACCAACCCTGCCTCGGAGAGTAAGTCAAGATGATAGCCTAGTATCTGCTATTTTCTGCTGCTCTTTATTATTTTCTACTACTTTTTCCTACTGTCCGCTACTTTTTATTATTTCTACTACTCTCTGCTACTATTACTATATATGTTCCTTTTATATATAGTTCAATTTTACGTAGGTAATACACATAGGTACCTAATCATTTATCTTCTAGGTTGACAACACGCGAGATAGACACTGGGTACTAGGTAAGTCCTGTATTTTATAGAGGATAATATCAGAAGACAATAAATTGAATAAGCTTAATGCCGACGAAGTATTGCCAGTACATGCGCTGCCAGTCTATTATCATTATACAACTAGAGAATGCCAACCCCAAGAGCGTTGTGTTCCCATTTTAACTGCATACCAAAATACTTACTCAGTTTCTCCCTGACAGCGTACCCAATTATTCGGCGGCCGAATCCACATTCTCCTCGCTCTCAGGCGCAGCGGGAGAAGGATCTGCCTTGATTGCCTGCAGCTGCTTCACCTTCCGGATATCAACCCATCCCAAGCCCCAGCCAAAGGCAAAGGTGGCGACACTGACTCCAATACCGAGATACATCACATGGCTAATTGCTGTGGTATAGCACTTGAGCGCGGCTGTGAGTCGATCGCCGGAAACGATGCTTCGGATGGTGGTGGCTCCGGTACTGAGAATGATGTCTGGGTTGACGCCAATCTCGCTGATATGCTTTTGGAGCTCTTTGCGGAGGCCATTGGTGAAGATGGTGTTGGCAGCGACAAGGAAGACTGCACCTCCCATATTTTGACAAAAGATTATGATGGCCATGGCGATGGGGATCTGTGGAGGTGGGACAAGATTTTGAATAGCGACGTAGGGCTTTAGGCAAACAAAAAGTAGTTAGCAAAGAAGAAACCAGACATGCAGAGAAAGGGATGGAAGGATGGGAAATCTATTCACCGCCGAGCTCATGGCGCCACTGCCAACACCATAGAGGACCTGGTATCCAAGCCATTTTGAGGACCCGGTTGTAGGCTTCAACATAGACATGAGGCCATAACCAATGGCGGCCAAAGAACTGCCTCCTAAATTCCACGGGAGGTAATATCCAAAGATTTCCGCTATGAAATATTAGCTTCGTGGCTTCCTAAAGAATATTCAAGACAGGTCAAAACAAACTCATCATTCCGGACAGCATAGTGAAAAGGACCAATCCCAGAGTCGTCGGCAGCAAGTGCACACCGCTCATAATGGGGCTGTTGTCGAGCACCGTTTGGAAATAAATGGCGAGATAATATTCGGCCACCAGAATGGCACCAAGAAGGAAGAACAGGTTAGCTGCAGCAGACCACACAATACGCTTTTTGATCATGGCAAATGGCAGCATGGCGTTGTCGCCTTGGTAATATTCCCAGATGAGGAAGACGATGAATGTGACACCCGCGCCGACCAAAAGGCCGATGACAACAGAGCTATTCCATGGGTGCAATGTGCCGCCATATTGTAGTCCAAGCAAGAACATGACCGCCGCGGGGCTGATGAGGAAAAAGCCTGGAAGATCCAGAGATTTGAAGGCGGTGCCGAGGACTTGGCTTGGGGGCAGCTTGTTTATCGTCTCGGGGATATCAACGAAGAGTAGCAGAATGGCTAGAGCAGCGCCAATGGGCAGGTTGACGTAAAAGCCTATGACAAAAAATCAGTGATGCAAGTTCCAGAGCTCAACCAAGCTGGGCAGCCAAATCACTTACACCAGCGCCATGTGACATTCTGGGTGAACGAGCCGCCAATGATGGGTCCTAGAGCAATACCGAGCTGGCCGATTCCCAGGTTAATACCCAGGAATTGAGCTTGCTTTCTTGGAGGTAGCACGGCCGAGATGATAGTCAGAGCACCATTTCCAATACCAGATGAGCCGGCGCCAGCAATGGCTCTGCCGACGATGAACATTGGCGACGAGACGGCCGCTCCACAAATGGCCGATCCGACCTCGAAGATGAAAAAGAATACGAGGAACGACCACTGTATCCAAAGTTAGAAAATCATGCGTTTGATGTGCCTTGTTATGCCTATGTCTATTTCTATTTTATTTTCCTCAATTTACTTCCAATTACTTTTCCTCTTTAATAGGCTTTCCTGAATAATCCTAGAAGCACCCACCTTTATGTTGAAATGGCTGTATATTTTGCCAGTGAGCGGTTGAAGTGCTGAGCTCCCAAGCTGATACGCGCCACCGTACCAGCCCACGTCGATGAGAGAATTGAATCGTTGCGTGATGGCGGGCGTTGCAGTAGACACGACGCACATGTCAAGGAAGACGAGAAAGTATGCAATCGTAACAGGCGCGAGGATCGACCACAAGACCGTGCCACTGGGATACTTGCTCTCGTCGTCTGCGACCTCGTTCCCAGAGGTAGTACCATCGGATCCGTACTTTTCGACATCGCCAGACTTTTCTGTCAGCACATTGCCCGTTTGCACCGACTTTTTTGAGTCACCCATGGTTCGCTGTTGTGGTTGCGGTTATAGTGATGGCACTAGAGTTGACTCTTGCTTTCTCGACCCTGATGCCAACAATGTGGTCAGCGGTTGTCGCGAGAAAGGACGTATACCTCAGCGCGTTAGCTTAGCTATACGATATATAACAAAAGGAGAGAAAATCACAATTGTCAACCTATCCAAATACAGAACACATGAAGTCAGAAAATCTCCATTGTTCGCAGTACATCCCTGGGGCGGAATCTCTCGACCGAGCGAATGTGATTGAATGACAAAGCCAGTCAAACCAGTGCAAGTGCTGTAAGTCGGAACCGGAATGTAAAATCCGGTCGCTGGTCCCTGGGGGATCGACAGGGTCCACCATCAACCGGACTGACGGACTTGGAAACCGGTTCGGCACTAACAGGGATTTGCTGCAGGCACTTCCCGGCCAATTAGCAATTAGACAAACCAGGGCTGAAGCCGTGTTGACACATTAATACTCCGATGTAAGTCGACATGAATAATCCGGCACTGGGCTGGTAGGATGTAAGTTGAGAGTGGCGAGGCTTTCTTACAAACTGTTGGTGGGTGGCCTAGAACGCCCATGTTCCGGCTGTTCATTGTTGAAAGCCGGATATCAGATGTAAGCGATGGATGGCGTACAAAACCAAATGCCGTGATGGAGAGTTTGCAATCCCGAAACCGCAAACGCCCGGTAACGAAACTCCAGCACGCACGCAGCTCTGTCAAACCACTTGTCAAGGAGAGATTATTGCCCGCTGAGTCATTACAGCAAACTCAGGAGTGCAATTATTTACGTGTAATCCGGCATCGCATCACTGGGCTGACAAGTAGAAGCAAGACAGGAAATATATGGTATCTATCAAATGAAAATACTGTGTCAGATCCATCGCCGTATATGCGCCTCCCAGGGCTTTGTGCAAGCCTATGCTGTAGATGTCGTTTAATCCCTAAAGTCAACAAAAAATTGATCAAGCCACAACGTAGGACTCATCGGGTATCCCGCCTCTTGACCATATGTCAGTGCATCTGTATTTGCATCTGTAACCATAGATGTAGTTGTAACCGCATCCACATCCGCTCTGGCTCCCGCACCATCTCCCCCATCTGCTTTTCTTCGTGTCTCTTCCTGTTGTCCCTGTTGGGCCAAGAAGCCTCTTTCATCATCATCCGACTTATATAATCGTAATCCGCGTGCTAGTTGGGCGAACACGCTATCGGCTGACATTGGGTGCTCGCCGGCTTCCGCGGAGGCCAGCTCCAGCTTGTCCGCCATGCAGGATATCAGAACGGGCAAATTAACGAGGTCCCTCAGAGCGACTGGATCCCAGCCCGGCTCCTGGTATGCGCTAAGTTGATGCAGGGTGGCCACACAGCGGGCCAGCTGAGCCCACTGGATGAAGGAGACGCCAAGAAGTCTAGACGGCGAGAGAGTCAGAAAGGTCGACGTACACGACTTGATTGCCAGTGCTGACTGCCAATAGCAGGAGAGACGCGTTGGCCCACATGTAGGTGGTGGTGGCTTCGCCGGTGGTCCACGAGTAGACGGCGGCATGTGGATTGTGTCGATTATGCACATTTCTGTGTAGTATGTTTGAGCTAGGAGGACTGCTGTTCAATTAGCAACTACTGCCTGGTTGTATTGCTGAGCTTATGCCTAGATCGAGCTGTAAACCTACCAAAGTGCTGCTGGAATGCCTGAGGGACAGTCGCTCGGACCTCTTGCAGCTGCCCCATCAGCCCCTTGATGCACAACAGAGCTTGAGGTGAAAGCGTCTCCGGTGGGGGGTGGTCCGGCAGTTGGGCACGCTGGCGAACCTGGGCGGCCTTGACAGCGAGAAGCTGTAGGCGAACCTGGATAGCCAGGGCAGCATCAGACGCACACTCTGCACTCACACTGCTGCTGCCGCTAGCGATAATGGCTGCCAGGCCCTCATCCATCTGGGTCACCCACCGTGGCGCATCAACCTGGGAGAAGTAGGCTGAGACGGCCGAGCCAAGCACAAAGCAGCCTAGAATAGCTCGCTGACGCTCCAGATAGAGCAGGGCATTAGTCATTCCAGCACCCAGTGCCGTTGCCGCTGTCATCGTAGTGGCTGCCGTGTTGTTATAGACATCATCAAACTCGCCTCTTGGTTGGAGTTGGCTTATTGTGCGCGTAATTTCTGGTGCTGCTTGGTCCAGAGCACGCAGCTCCCCGGCCAACGACGTAGCCACCGCCATGAGTCGAGACAGACTGCGACGGCTGTGTAGGTGCTCCCATCCCCATGCAATGTAGACAAGCAAACCCAGCAGCAAGTCGACTGTTTGCTGCGGTTGCTGCTGTTTCCGATGCGGCGACAATTGTAGGAATGCCATCTCGCACAGCACACGCTTTAGCTCGAGAGAGCTTTCCCTCTTGTCCTCAGACGACATCGAAGTCACGCAAACAATGGCGCGGAACAGGAAAGGCCGCTTCATCCTCAGCTGCTCAGCCGTGAGGTGGGCGGGCAGATGAACAAAGGGGAAGTGGTGCAGCATTCGCGACCGGAATGTGTCGAGAGAGGCCGATGCAGATGGCGGAGATACAGACGGCGACATGAGCGCGTCCAACACAGTCGACGGCGGGGTAACCAGAGGGATTCCGTTGGCATTGATCCCATTCGCATTGTCCGTCGCCCACCAAGGAGCAGCGGCACCGGCGGCAGCAGTCTCATTATTCTCGTCTTCGTCGTTGAAAGTAGTGCGCGAGTCCTCTATAGCGTCGTTTTTCCTGGTCCCTTCTGCGACCACATCTTGGTAAGTCATGTTGGGAGGAGTGTGCATCAGCGTCGCCGGGCGGTGTTCAGTTGTCTCGGCCTCGAGCATTGGTTGCGGCTGTGGTAGTTGTTGCTGCTCTTGGTGCTGTTGAAGGTGTTGTTGCGGTGGTGAATTCTGCTGCTGCGACCATACACTGACTCTGTCGCCGTGAATGTCGCCCACGGTTCCCATGTTTCCCACGTTTCCAATACTGTTCATAATATCCGCGTTGACGTTGCCCGCTTGGAGTAGCGACACCAGCTGGCCAAGCGTACCCTCTAGTTTGGCGATGCGGTCGTCGGGCGAGTTCTGCTTCTTATCGTTGCGCCGGCGCAGCACGTCGGCTGGATGACATGGTCGCTTGAGACGGTGACACCTGTACCCCATGTCCGTTTGTGTCAACGAGTATCAACCAAACCCAAGCCCAGGACGAAGCCCAGATTGCAGACTGACCTTTCGCATCCGCTGCCTTCAAGGCGAGGAATGCACTTGCACTTGGTCTTGAAGCAGCTCAAGCACGCTTGGCCGTAAGGCGCCGAGCGGCCAGCTGTTCTCACCATGGCGGTTATTCCACCGAGTCGGGATCGGAGTAATTATTGAAGGGCGATGCAATTCTTTGGGACGATTGAGCTTGGGTGTTGGAAGCTGACTTTTCTTGTAGGATGGATGTGATAAGGCTACCGTACAGTGTGTGTCGGCGCATGTCACAACCCACAACCTACAGGTAGGTTAGTAGTATCAAGGTACATCAAAAGAAGGGTACCAGTTAATGCATTTAAAAATAACCAGCTAGAAATTATAATATTTAATAGTACTACTGATAGATGATTTATAATATAAAATTCAGTAATAACATTAATAAAATACTACTTAATTATAGAAATGTTATAATATTTACCTAGGTAGTTTGTTAAGAATTACTACCGAGGTACTGTATGTCACAGTATGGTCAAATTAAGATTATTTTTATACTTCTTACTGTCATACTTTAGTACATCCACTTAATAGGTAGCCACTCTAGTTTTAAAGTACCTACTTAGGTACCTATTCACTCCTAGGTTATAATTGAACCTACCCTAGACTTTGAAAAGTATCATCAGCGAGCCCCAAAGCATTATATATATTGCCTTTGGGACCGAATCTCTATTGTTTGTTGATTGCTATCTTCTTCTGCATCTGTGACTGTTTAACCTGGCAACATTTCCGATTCCAGTAGCTGTCTTGTACCATTGGTAGCATCGCGAATTGCTTGGAAAATCAATACACTTGGACAAATCCCACCCAACATCTCATGTACTGTCTATGAAGCGGACAAACCCGGGCTCATTTCTTGCTCTAGCTCCGGTTGCTGATAAATGCTGCATTGTCCGTGCACATACATTCAAATCCTGCATTGTGGCATCTAATATTGTAGTTTACTTGCCAAATAGGACACAACGCGTGCTAAGCTGCTGCAGCTCTTATCTCTGTTACCATCTTCTCAACATCATAATCCCACACGGTTCGAGAGGCTCGCTCGAGCTTCAACTTGCTCCTCTCAGCGTCCCTCCCCGTTGGGCCATATCGCCACTGGTAAATTTGGCCCATCTCGCGGGAGCTGCGCACAACCCACTGGCCACGATCTCTCCTTGCTTCGCTGTAAGCCTGCAGTGCGTGTGCAATGGCCTCTCTCTGACTACCTACATGCTTGCCACCATCACTATAATTGTTACCGCCGGCCTGTACCGCAGCCAATGCTTCGCAGAGCACAAGAGCGTCTTCGACACCGATGCAGGCTCCGACACCTTGGAATGGGCTACTGGCGTGGGCAGCGTCACCAGCAAGACAGACGCGGCCGCGCGCATATGTTGGTGTCGGATTTTCGTCCATATCAAAGATCCCCCACTTGATCATGTTGTCGGGGAAGAGCTTGGTGAGTTCTACGAGATGCGGACCCCAGCCGATGACAACGCGCTCGAGCTCTTCTCGTGTGGCCGGAGCCGTCATTTTCTCGGGGTCGGGGAAATCTGAGGATTCGTGGGCAAAGAAGGCAACGTTTAGGAGGGTTCCATTCATGACCTGTTTGTTATACGTGTTAGCCGAGCCGGCCTTGGAGCTGGATAAAGGGCAGACCATTCAAAGGTGCTGAATTGGACTAACAGGGTAAGACATCATGTTGGCGTTAGGACCACAGTGCATACACGCCCTCTTTGCCTTGTACTCACCGAGGGCGGCAATACCGGCGTCGATGGGCAGCATGGTGCGGTAGGCAACTGTATGAGTGTAGCTGGGCCGAGTGGCTGGGTGATGAGCGCCGAGAAGCGTTTTCCGGGTGGTTGAGTGAATGCCGTCGCATCCAAGCACGACGTCTGCCTTGGCGGTGCTTCCGTCTGCGAAATGCATAACAACTTTGCCATTCACGTCGTTGTCATCGTAGCTCACGAGCTGCTTCCCAAACTTGGCTACGCCATCAGGCAGTAAGCTGACCATGCCCAGCAGGAATTGAGAGCGAACGCAGCCCCAGAAGGCGAGCTTGTTTCCCGGCAGCTGGAACAGCAGCGATGTCGACTCATCTTCAGCTTCCTCCTTTGTCTGCGGGTGGTAGGCGTTCCAGTAGGTTGTGCTCGAGTCGTCAGGGTCCGTCTTCTGACTGATGCGGCTCAACACATCGAGGATGCCGGGATCCAAGCGGCGCATGCACTCCCGGGCCACGCCGGTAAATGCAAAGCCAGCGCTAATCTCATGCCAGTTGGATGAGCGTTCGTAAATAGTTACCTTGATGCCCCGGCGTATCAGTCCCAGCGCTGTCATGACACCGACGACGCCACCCCCTACAACGGCCACGTCCAGGGAGGGCGTTGTGGTGCTGTTATTGCTTGCCATGGTGCTCAACCGCAATCTGGAGGCTTGTAGGACTGAAAATCACCGATTGGACGTGATAAATGATGAGTTGCGGCACAATACACAGGTAGATTTGCCATCACGGAGGGATGCCAATCAGATGATGTGAATAAACTCAAGTCCTAGAGGCATTATGCAATACTAAGAATAAACTACACAGAAATAACAACCTAACCAAAAGGAGTGGGATGAAAGATCATCTGCGGAGTTTATATCCTCCTTGCTCTTGGTAGAAACCTCAGCCGCTGCTGATAGTCCCACTCTTAGGAAGTACGCAAGTCTCCGCGCGGACTTTCGGATAAAATATCCTGTAAGAGATAACACTCTCAAAGAAAAAAAAAAGGATCTCAGCACAAGGCAACGTATTACCTATCTCCGGCAGTAATTCTACTGAACAAATTCAATGGAGAAATACTGTACAAGCCTTTCCGTAGAATGAATTAGTGATTCGCATCTCGGGCTACTATAGATATAGTTCTGCCGTGAAACAAATCGATCGAGGCACACCAACCAAGCTACCTAGTAACCGAGTGTTCTCCTCAACAAGTAACCAAGTGTTCTACAACTCAGTTGCTTTTACTTTCCACCCCTTTACTTTTCCTTCCTTTCACTTGGTACCAATTTTGTTAGTCAACTGTACATTCACACTCCAATGACTACCTCTATCATTGCATCTTCCGTGGCGGATGCACCGCAAGCAACAACCCTTGTGTTTGGCGGTCACATTGGCACACAGAGCAAAAAATCACTAGAGAAGCCAGTAAAGCAATTCCTCAGCGGGCCCAACGGAAAATGGATACTAGAGGCCGTCAGTGGGTTGCCGCAGTACTGGGCAGCCCTGGTGGAAAAGATTCCGGAGATTGCCGGCACAGTCTCAGGTGCCGAATTGCTCAAAGATTTCGACTCATGGCTACGAAACGGTATCTCGGCGGGCGACCTGCTCGCCTCCGAAACAGAACTGCCAAACATACTCATCGGGCCGCTGATGGTGGCCATCCAGCTGGACCAATACTGGCGGTATCTGGAATTTCGGCTGGATGACGTTGCCATCTCAGATCCCCAAGCAGAACTCGTCCGACAACAGCAGCAGCAGCAGCAGCGACAGACCACCATCCGCCCTGTGGAAACGCTGGGCTTCTGCGCTGGCCTCATCAGCGCCGTGGCAGTGGCGAGTTCTCACGATAGGGCTGAGTTCGAAAAGTACGGCGCCGTGGCAGTGCGCATCGGCATGTTGATGGCAGCTCTGGTAGACGCGCGCGAGTCTCGAGACGAGGCCAGAGGCATGGGCGGATCGGTGTCGTTTGGGACAGCATGGCGTAGCGGCAGCAAGCAAGGCACCGACATGGCGAGCATCGTGTCGTCGCTGACGCCGGACGCATATGTATCGGTGCTCTTCGATGAGGCGCGCGCTACAGTGACGACTTCTGAACGTGTAGCTCCGACGCTGGTGCGGAGACTTCGGGCTGCCGGTGTCACGGCGGTTCCACTCCCGTTCAAGGGCCACATGCATACGCCGGGGGTGGAGCGGAAGCGGCAGACGGAGGCGCTGATCGAGCTGTGCCGGGTGGGGCCGAAGAGCGCCGGACTTCAGTTCCCAGTGGCGGCCCGGCTGGCGCTGCCGACATTCAGCAACTCGGCAGACGGCTCTCATGTATCTCCTGACGAGACGGATCTCACAGGGATGGTGCTGCGGGCGATTTTGACGCAGCAATTCGATTGGGCTGGGACGATGTCGAAGCTGCTGTCGGCGTCGGCGACGACGCATAAGGAGGTATCTCTGGTGGCTTTTGGGCTGGACCAGTGCATTCCGCCAACAATAACGCGGAAGTTTGGGCCAAAGCAGGCACACTATGAGCAGCTGGTGAACCACATTGAGAGTCGGAAGCTTCAAAAGATCTCGTCGGCTTTGGCTACGGCCAACGGCACAACCATTTCGGCAAACACCTTAACAGTCAAGGATGAACCCCAAACATCAGTAGCGCCAGGAAAATCTGCCGAGGAAGTCATCGCCATTGTGGGCATGTCTATCAAAGCGTCCGGGGCTGATGACCTCGAGGAATTCGCAACGATGCTCAAAACGGGCAAGTCGCAGCATGAGCTGATCACGGCGGAGCGGATGACGCCAGATATGCTCTTCCGGGAGGCAGGGGAGGACCCGAAGAAAAAGAAGAACTACTACGGTAACTTCTTACGTGACTCAGATGCTTTTGACCATAAATTCTTCAAGAAGAGCCCTCGTGAGTCCCAAGCAATGGATCCACAAAGCCGCCTAGCGATGCAGGTAGCATACCAGGCAGTCGAGCAGTCTGGATACTTCACGGAGCCCAAATTGACGAGCAAAGAACGAGAACACATCGGTAGCTACCTGGGCGTGTGCGGCGTTGATTACGAGCAGAACACGGCCTGTCATGCAGCGAGCGCATTCACTGCTACGGGCGCCTTACGTAGTTTTATCACTGGCCGGATCGCGCACTTCTTTGGCTGGACGGGTCCCGCAATGACCTTCGATACGGCGTGTTCGTCGTCAACAGTAGCTTTGCACACTGCCTGCCGCGACCTGCTGTCTGGCGAGGTGACGGCGTCGTTAGTAGGCGGCGTTAATATTATGACTAGTATGCAATGGATGCAGAACCTCAGCGCTGGCAGCTTCCTAAGTCCGACAGGTCAATGCAAGCCGTTTGACGCTGAGGCCGACGGCTACTGCCGGGGAGAGGGAGTCGCTTTCGTCTTCCTCAAGAAGTTGTCGGATGCCGAGGCCGCCGGCAATACGGTGCTGGGCACGATCCGGGCGACGGCGGTATATCAGAACCTCAATATCACGCCGCTGTTCGTGCCCAACGTACCATCACTGTCACAGTTATTCAAGGACGTGATCCGCAAGGCCGGCGTCGACCTGGCCGAAATTTCCTTGGTCGAGGCCCACGGCACTGGCACAGCGGTCGGTGACCCGGCCGAGTACGAGAGCGTCAAACTGGCGCTGGCCAGCCCACGGCGTGATACTGTCGTGCCTATAGGCTCAGTTAAAGGCCATGTAGGTCACACGGAGGGTGCTTCTGGAATGATTGCACTGGTAAAAGTGCTCATGATGATGCGTGACAACTTCATCCCGCCTCAGGCCAGCTTTACACGCATGAATCCGCACACCCACGCCTCGCCGGCCGACATGATAGAGGTGGTGACGGAGCTGCGGCCGTGGCCCGCCGAACGTAAGATCGCTCTGCTTAACAACTACGGCGCCTGCGGTTCCAACGCCAGTGTTGTCATCGACTACTCGGCCCCTAAGGCTTTGGACAAGCGCTTGCAAGCTCAGACAGCAATAGAGACCCGGCAGCCGTTCTGGATCCCCGGATTCGACGCCCGCAGTATCGCTGCCTATAGCAAAGCACTGACTGCATACCTCCGTGGCCGCACCGGAGACAAGAAAGTAAACCTAGCCGACGTGGCGTTTAACATGGCCCGCCAGTCGAATCCCAGCTTGCCTCAAGGGCTGATTTTCAGCTGCCAGTCGTTAGAAGAGCTACAGGGAAAGCTGGCCCAGGCTGCTGCGGCTACTAAAGAAACAGCTGCCGCCGCTGGTATCACTGCATCTAAGTCGGAGCGGCCGGTCGTGTTATGCTTCGGTGGCCAAGTTTCGACATTTGTCGGACTAGGCCGCGCGTTATACGAGAGGGTCGCTGTCTTGCGACACCACCTGGATGCTTGTGATTCGGCTGCCACGGCGGCAGGCTTATCTAGCATTTTCCCTGCCATATTTTCGCGCGAGCCCATCCGTGACACTGTCCAGTTACAGACGGCGCTGTTCGCTATGCAGTACGCCAGCGCGCGGACGTGGATGGACTGTGGGCTGGCCTCGAAGATCGTGTCCGTCGTGGGCCACAGCTTCGGCGAGATCACGGCGCTCTGCGTGGCCGGTGTGCTGAGCCTCGACGACACAGTTCGGCTGGTTGCCGGCCGTGCAAAGCTGGTGCGTGATGCCTGGGGGCCAGATTCAGGGGCAATGATGGCCGTCGAGGCAGACGAGACTGTCGTCCATGATCTGCTGAGGGAGGCCAACTTGAACGGCGATGGCTCAGCCAGCATCGCTTGCTACAACGGCCCTCGCAGCTTCACACTGGCCGGTACGACTAAGGCAATCGACGCCGTGGCCGCCACTCTTGCTAGCAACAGCAAGTTTGCTGGAGGTGGCATCAAGAGCAAACGGCTCAACGTGACCAATGCTTTCCACTCGGTGCTAGTGGAGCAGCTTGTCGACGACCTTGGAAAAGTCGGCCGGGATCTTACTTTCCATGACGCTGTGATCCCAATTGAACGGGCTACTGAGAATGAGTCGGCAAGCTCGCTGGACTGGACCTTTGTGCCTTCACACATGCGCCAGCCTGTCTTCTTCAACCACGCTGTACAGCGGCTGGCCAAGAAACACCCACAGGCTATCTTTCTCGAAGCTGGATCCAACTCCACGATCACGATGATGGCGAGCCGCGCGCTGGCCCAAGTCAATTATGCCAGCAATAACACACTCGCTTTCCAGGCTGTATCCATCACTAACACTGAAAAGGGTCTCAACGGACTCGCAGATGCTACGGTAGCGCTGTGGAAGCAGGGCTTGCGCGTGACCTTCTGGCCGCATCATCATTCCCAGGCGGGCGAGTATGTGCAACTGCTTCTGCCGCCGTACCAATTCGACAAGTCACGCCACTGGCTAGAGGTAAAGTCGCCGATGGAAGCTGTTACCAAAGCAGCCCAGGCCATGATTGCTGCGGCGGGAGTCTCTACTGCAGGAGTTGGACGTGTTACTGAGGTGGAAGACCCTAAGAAGCTGCCCCTCTGGACATTCATCAGCTATCAGGAGGCCAAAGGAAACAAGAAGTTGGCCCGCTTCCGGATCAACACGAGCTCAGACTCGTATCAGCGCTTGTTTGCATCCCACGTTATTGCCCAGACGGCGCCCATCTGTCCGGCAACACTCGAGATCGACATAGCCATCGAAGCACTCTTCAGCCTCAATCCGAACTGGCGGGCTTCTGGCTACTCTCCCACGATTCATGATCTCATCACTCACACACCAGTATGTGCCAACTCGACGCGTATCTTCTACATGGATCTGTCACCGTTGGACAAGGCCGAAACAAAGTGGCACTTTAACTTACACAGCGTCACGGGCAACGGTGGTGACTCCCAGGCCCACGCCGAGGCCACAGTCCGCATGCACGCGCCAACTGATGCCTCCTATTTGCAAAAGTTTAGTCGTTATGAGCGTCTAGTCAGCCACGCTCAGTGTGAGGCCCTTCTGAAGCTTGGCCTTGACAGCGACGGCGTCGAGGTGCTACAGGGCCGTAACGTATACCGCGCCTTCACCGAAGTCGTTGATTTCGGGCCGGTCTACCGCGGCGTCAAGTATGTGGTCGGCCGCGATGGTGAGAGCGCTGGTGTAGTTCATAAACGCCACGAGGGTCATACCTGGCTCGACGTGCCCATGAGCGACTCGTTCGGCCAAATCGCCGGCATTCACGTGAATTTGCTGACCGACGACCTATCGCCAGCCGACATGTTCGTTGCTACCGGTTGCGAGTTGTTGATGCGATCGCCAAAGGCTCAACCGGAGATTTCTGGCAAAGAGAACGGCCCTGGTGTCTGGCACGTTCTCGCCCGTCACGAGCGCCAGTCTGACAAGGCGTATACAACGGATGTCTTCATCTTTGATGCCTCTACCGGCGCGTTGACAGACATCATGCTGGGTCTGCAGTACGCACGTGTATCTAAGGCGTCCATGAGCAAGATCCTCACGCGCTTCACAGCGGACCAAGAGTTCCTTAGGAAACCAACAGGGGCGATTGCTGCGACTCCTGCTGCTTCTCATCCACCCCCCGTCACTGTTGCTGTTCCCGCCCCTGTTCTCGATGGCACCAAAACAAGTGCAAAACCGAAGAAGACAAAGCAAAAGGGCTTCGACATTACTGATGCCGTCCGCAACCTGGTGGCTGATGTCTCCGGCATCGAGGCTAGCGAGATAACACTCGACAGCGAGATGGCCGAAGTAGGCATCGACTCGCTTATGGGCATGGAGCTGGCTCGTGAGGTTGAGAATAAATTTAAGTGTACACTCAACCAAGCCGAGATGATGGAAGCAGTCAGCCTCCGCCAATTTGTCGCCTGCGTCGCAAAGGCATTGGGCAGCACTGAGGGAGATGTCGGAACAGAAAATGCCGAGCAAGACTCAGATACTGCTGACAGCGACTCGGCCGTGGAGTTTATGCGGTCGGACGAGACTGATGACACGGCCTCTGATATCACTACACCAGAGCCTGAAGAGGCATCTGCTTTCCGCAAGCCCGGCTCACTGTCAGTCGGCCCCGCCACCAGCAATCTGGCCCTCAATGCCTCCGACATCCTCGAGTGCTTCGGCCATGTTAAGTTGACGACTGACGATAAAATTCGCGAGTTTGGCATCGATAGCATCGCCCGTGTTGGCCTGGCTGGCAGCAATAAACTCTGTACAGCCCTTGTCGTCGAGGCTTTTGATGAGCTTGGGTCGCCACTGAGGACAGCTACTCCAGGGCAGCTGCTGGATCGCGTAGCCTTCTTGCCGCAGCATGGCCGAATGATGGAATGGGTTTATGGCTTCCTGGAGCGTGAGGCACGTTTGATAGATATTGACACGGTAACAGGCCAGATCACACGCACACATGTGGCCGTGCCGCGCAAGACCAGCGCCGAGCTGCTCGACGAAATGATCGCCGCGCATCCCGAGTCCGCCATCCCCAACCGCCTGGCCTACTATGCCGGCAAACACCTGGCTGGCGTCCTCAGCGGCGCTACTGATGGTATCCGAGTCATATTTGGCAGTGCTGAGGGTCGTCGGTTGGTCCAGACCATGTACTGCGACTACGCCTTCAACCGCATGCACTATGAGCAGATGGCAGAGGTCGTCACCAGATTATCAAGCCGCCTGAACCAGACCGGTGAAACTCTGAAGGTTCTCGAAATGGGTGGCGGCACCGGTGGTACAACAAACGTGATGGCTCCGTTACTGGCGTCCCTAGGCATCCCCGTCGAATACACCTTCACGGACCTGTCGCCGTCCATGGTGGCCAACGCGCGCCGCAAGTTCGCTGAGCAGCACCCGTTTATGCGCTTCGCCGTACACGATATTGAGAAGCCGCCAGCCGCAGAGCTCCTAGGACAGCATCTAGTCTTGGCCAGCAATGCTATCCATGCTACTCGCAGCTTGCTCGAGTCGGCGCAAAACGTGCACCAGGCTCTACGCCCTGACGGTTTCCTCATGATACTCGAGATGACGGAGAGCCTGCCATTCGTTGATATTGTGTTTGGCCTGCTCGAGGGCTGGTGGCTCTTCAACGATGGTCGTACCCACGCCGTTGTTACTGCTGAGCACTGGGAGCGCGCTCTGCACGCCTCAGGCTTTGGTCACGTCGACTGGACCGATGGCAAAAGGCCCGAGAACGCCTTCCAAAAAGTCATCATTGCCCTGGCCTCTGGAGGGACGGCAGCTCGTCTCCCTGCGTCTGTAGCATCTACAGAGAAAACCAAGGTGGTTGATAGAGGCGATGTGACGGCCCGCGAGGCCGAAGCTGAACGCCTTGTAGCCTCTTACACAGCCGGTTGGGCCACGCCGGCCCTCGATTCTGTGGCTATCGATGCTTCTACCGCTTCTTCTCCCGCTGCCGCTGTGGTCGTCACTGGCGCTACGGGCAGCCTCGGCGCCCACCTTGTGCAGTCGCTCGCCGAACGCCAGGACGTCGCTAAGGTTATCTGTGTGAACCGTCAGTCCGGCGTCCCAGCCAATCAGCGCCAAGCCGAAGCATTCTCTTCAAGAGGTATTGCTCTATCGCCTTCTGCGCAGGAGAAGCTGCGCGTCTATGAGACCGACACCTCCAAGCCGCAGCTGGGCCTGCCTACTCAGGAATATGCTTGGCTGGTCGCGAATGCCACCCATATTATACACAACGCCTGGCCCATGAGTGGCACACGCCCACTCAAAGCTTTTGAGCCGCAGCTACAGACCATGCGCAACCTGCTGGACCTGGCGCGAGAGATGGCTCTGGGGAATCCAAAGACTCGTGTCGGCTTCCAGTTTGTGTCCTCGATCGGTGTGGTTGGCTATGCGGATACGTCTGCTAGGCCCCAAGTTCTTGAAGACCGCGTGCCAATAGCATCTGTCATGCCCAGTGGCTACACCGAGGGCAAATGGGTATGCGAGCGCATGATAGACGAGACGTTGCACCGCTACCCACGTCTGTTCCGCGCCACCGTCACTCGCCCCGGCCAGATCAGCGGCTCCAGTCGCAGCGGCTTCTGGAACCCGGTCGAGCACTTTGCCTTCTTGGTGAAGAGCTCACAGGCTTTACGTGTGTGGCCCGACCTGTGTGGTCGCTTGCAGTGGCTGCCCGTTGACCGCAGCGCCGGCGTGATGGTGGATTTGCTACAACTGGAAAACAGTGGCGATGCAGCTGCGTACCCCGTCTATCATATTGACAACCCGGTTGGCCAGCCGTGGGAAGAAATGTCGCCCGTGCTGATAACGGCCCTCGATATCCCTCCCCAGAACGTGATCTCCTTTGCCGACTGGATCATGCGCGTGCGTCGCTCGCCGCTCTCGGGCGACGAAAATCCGGCTGCTCGTATCATTGACTTTCTTGACAGCCACTTTGAACGCATGTCTTGTGGAGGCATAATCCTTGACACTCAGAAAGCAAAGGAGCACTCAGCCACGATGGCAGTTCAGGGCCTTGTCAGTGATGATATTGCGCGGGCATATGTAGCATCCTGGAAAGCTATGGGGTTTCTGAAGTAGATGATCATCGGAAGAATAGTATATGATGGTACTTTTGGACTTTTCTTGGTTTCGTTTGGAGCGGCAAGAGTGTGGAAAATTGTCTAGATTGTTGCTCTCAATATCGGTTTGCAATTTGGAAGTCGTGGGATTTAGATGATGAGACAGCGCACGTGCCGTCACACGTGATGGACTTCGACCTGCATTCACTTCCATGTTACTACCTAGGATTAAATTAGTAGCTTTTCCAATTTTTTTTTAAGAAATCATCCCTTTCAAACTCTTGATCACCGTTATTTTCACCAGCATGTGCTGGTAAGCAAATATCTGCGGGTAACTTACATCATTGGTTCAGATTATCAAGTCGCAAATTCCCACCATTTCCAGCCTACCTCAACTTGTCCTCTATGCTATTTACCGGGTTGAATTCATAAATTAAAGCGAGTTTCCTTTCATTTCATAGCCATTTTCTTCTATTACATGATAGAATGCTGCGCAATTGACCGGTCGAATTGCAGGCTGCGTGCAGTCGGTACTAGGGACCAAAAATGACAAACAACTCCTTCAGCGATACATTGGTTCCTTATTTTACTCATTGTCATTATAGAAAGGAATTCGAAGCCCTCCTTACGTTTGAAAAGGTCGGTAAGAGCAATCACAACAAAGGTAACAACTACATATGCTGTATGAATATACGATATTCACAACAAGCTTCGAATTTGTATTATTCCAACACATTTCGACAACTCATTGTCACTGAGAACTGGTATCAAAGATATAGGAGCACAGGAAGCTCAAATTACTTCAAATGTTATCTTCACAACACTAAAAAGGCTGTCTATCATACACCTCTACCCAACATATCTTACATACTGCTTCCACAGTGGGTCTTTCTTCAAACCGTTGATGTCGTCCTCGGGCATGCACAGCGTTAGAGGAATGAAGGCACCCTCAGCATCGTTGATGATCAAGCAGCCAGGGATCGGAGCCGCGGTTGGTCGGCGGAAGAAGCACGACCGGCCTAATGGGCCCCAAGATGCCGGCAGAGGCGCCACCTGGCCGGTTGCCGTCACCATGAGGTCTGCCCGGGGATCGTGTGTGCCGCCATACAGCAGGCTAGATGTGTCTGGCTCGCGGGCCATGAATGTAGCAAAGCTACGGATAGCCCATGCCGTGTTGGCCTGGTTGAGCTCACGGCGCAACACCTGCGCGATCTGTGGCAGGGAGAGTTCGGCCACCTGCCCCAAGGACAGTCGTACCAAAGCGTGGCATACCATGTGTCCCATGTAAGTCAGCGGTACTCCCAGCGCCATACGGCCGTCAATGGCTCGGCCAAGCTTCGACATTCGCTCTGGCGGCTGTCCGTTGGCAATACGCACGGCACAGAGGCGTTGCCAGGCAAAGGCGGAGAAGATGTCGTTCTCGGACACCATGAAAGAGCCCGGTTTGTTGGCTGATACGTCATCTTTGACCAATTTGACGAGCCGAGCAAGAGCGTTGACTGGCATCTTGAAGTAGCACCACATCAGCGGGCTCGAGGGCGTCGCCCAAGTGTAGCCAGGTGGTCGCCGCAGGTGGCTGTAGTCCTTGAGAAGATCACCGCGTGGAATCAATGGGATTACGCGGCTGCGGTCACGGTTGGCCTGTTCCAGGTCATCAGCCGGAATCTCCTTACTGGCCATGACGAGGGCCAGCAGGTTCAGAAATTGGTAGATGCCAGTGCCGTCGATGATAGTGTGGTGAGTGCTGAGATTGAGGATCAGGCCACCGCGCACAAAGTTAGCTTGCATAGCGATGACGGGGTCAGGACCTTCGAGGCCCCGGGGATGAGGCAGTGCCGGCCAAGGAGTCAAGACCGATCCGTCGAGCATATGGATCGGCACACCGGCTGAGATGAGCTTTGCCATGGGCGCGATGAGGTCGTCACAATATTTAGCCCTGATGCGGTCTTCGGGCACATCCGCCGGCCACGGCACCGCCTTCAAAATGCCGCCAGGTTTGGACTCCCGAGCCACCTGCCATCCTGTCCAAGGGATCTGCGCTTTAATCTTGTCAAAGCCGCCCTGGAGGGATGCGACAATGGCATCGCGGTCTGCATCAGCTGGCAGCTTGAATCCAAACAGCAGTTGCGTATATGCATTGAGTAGTGGGAATTGGGAGATTATGTCGCGATAGAGCTCTGAATTGGTATCAGCAGTATCGCTCTGGGCAGGGACTGTTTCCACTGCCACGGACATGGTGGCCTAGTTTCAGTTTGTAATAACAAGTCAGGGAAGCTTTACCTGTGGAAGACAGTCGTAAGTCGCCATCCCACATTGCGGTCGCTAGTTTTAGTGGAAGTTCTACGCTCTGTATACATCTCGGCCATCTAAGTAGATTTTGCTGCATTTTCGGAGTTTTGGAGTTTTGGAGTTTTGTGGTTGAGAGGTTTGGACTTTCGGACTTTCGGACTTTCTTTGCCTTCTGGCTGGCGGGTTGGAGGATGAGACCCTCGTTGTTACCCTATTCATGCCAGAGGATTAACAAAGTCATTGTCTTCAATTACTATCTTTGAAGCTGCATTTGAGATTGAAATAAAAATTATCACCCCAAAGGAAAAAAAGAAAAAGATGGCTTATGAGCAAAATCAGATCGCCTAGTGAACATCAAGCGTTGGGTGTGACTGTCGTCTTATTTTCGCTCTTATATTTCTTGTGACAAGGCACTCAATCTCAACTAGAATTGAACCCCGTTACCACTTATACCAATGCTATAGGATTCAGTTTCAGCCAGTTTCCAGCGACGGGTAATAATAAACAGTAAGATTTTGTTTGCTTTAGAAATAATAACAGGCAGCTCTGGCAATGTGGATGACTTTGCTTATTTTAGCAATTCTTATTTCCTATAACGTCCCGACCTAATACTAGATAGTATAAGGTAAGTTCCTAAGGTAATAAGCTAAGGTTAATTAGTTTATATTAGCAGAGAGGATAGAAAGTAGTTTTAAGTAAGTATAATTATAAAGTAAGTAAAATATAATAAAAATTTAATTTATATTTAATTTTAATATTTTATTAATAACTATTTATTTAAGTTATTTAAAGAGTATAAAAAATTAAATTTTATATATTTAGTTATTTTATAAAAAATACTATATTTTATTACTTTTTAAAGTATTTAAAGCGCTTATATAAGTTATTTTACTTATAAAAGTACTAAAGCTTATTACTTTATTTTATAATTAGTTAATTAAGTAATAGTTATTTTAAATACTTTTTTCTTATACTTTTATTAAATTAGGTTATAATATAATACTCCCTTTTTTATTAATTTTATTTTTAAGATTTTATAAGGCCTTATACTTAATTTAGCTATAATACTTAATTTTTATAAAATATATATTTTTTTTTTTTATATTTTTATTATATTAAAGCTATTTATAAAAGTTTATAAAAGATATAAGAATTTTTTTTTAATAAAGTATATATTAACTTCTAAAGTAATTATAAATATATTATATACTTATTATTATTATTTTAAATTAACTTATATTATTTCTAAAACTTTTTCTTATTATAGAAATTATATAAAGGTAAAAAAGTTATATAATAATATTTTTATTATAAGTATTTATAAATAATTTTAATTTCCTTAATATAATAGTAATTAATTTTTCTTTAGTTAAAAAAGTAATAGCTTAAAAGTATTTTTTAAAGTATAAAAAGGAAAAGGCTAGGGAATATTTTAATTTTTTAAATACTTAAATAATTAAATTATAATTTAAGCTAACTAAGGTAGTTAATTATTTATTATATATTTAAAAAATATATAAAAAAGCTAAAAAGTAAGGTAAGGAGTTATTTTATTATAATATAAAAGAGGCTAATATTAAGGTAGCTATAAAGTAGGCAGTAGTATAGGATCTATAGTTATTAAGTATTTTTAATAATATAAATTAGTTTTCCTTAGGTATTAGTTTAAAGTATAAAAATTTAAGTTTTTTTATATTATTAAAGGAAATTTATATACTTTTTTTTTTTCTTAAGCTAAGGTTTTATTTATTAAGTAATTAGTATTAGGAGTTTTAAATATAATTTTAAAGTATTTTAAAAGTCCTAGATTAGTTTTATTATATTAAAACTTTTAATAAGTTCCTAGGTATTATAAATTAGGTTATACTTTTTCTATTTAACTTAGTATTTAATTTTATTATTTTTTTTTAAGTTTCTTTATATTACTAAGACTTTTTTAATTTTTTATTTTTCCTTATTTTTAATAATAATAATTTTATTTAAAATAAGTTTTTTTATTACTTTATTAATTTATACTTTTTCTAAAAGTAATATATAAAATATAAAGTATTTTAGTTATATACTTTTTAGTATTTTTAGTTTATAATTAATATTACTAATTTTCTTTAGGATTTTAAATAATCTTATTTTTCTAAAGTTAAGTTTATTATTTAGTTAGTTTATTTTAATATTTAGTATTTTATAGTCTTATATATATTAAAGTAAGTAAACTATATCCCCTTCTTAAAGGTTTAGTTTCTTAATTTTATTTTTATTTATATAATATTTTATATATTTTTAAATAAATTTTAGTTATACTTTTAATTCTTTATATAAGTTAATTATTAACTTTATTTAAAGTTATACTTTATTAATATTAGGTTTTTTTTAAAGTAATTTATATACTAAAGGAGTATATTTATATAAAATATAAAATAATATTAACTTAGTAGATTTAGATTTTATATTATTATAGTATAATTAAGTAAAAAGTAGTTTATTAACCTAGTTATTTTATTATAGGTTAATAAAATATCTAAGGTATTACTTTATAATTTAGTTTATTTATTTTATTTAACTATTTATTTTAAAATAGTATATATTACTAAGTTTATAATTTACTTTAAGTTTTATTATAAGTTTTTACTAAAACTTAAAGGCAAAAGTTTATTTTTTATTTAAGATAATTTTTTAAAGTAAGCTATAATTAATTATTATTATTTATATATATATATATATATTAAATTTTTTATTAAGTATAATTTATAATAAAGCAGAAAGTAAGCTTATTTTATAAACTTATTTACTATTATTAAAATATTATTATAGGTTGCCTTTGTAAAAGTTTTTTTTAAAGGTAGTAGGTCTATAATATAATTAAAGGTAACTGTTTTCTATAGTAATTTTAATATTAATAATAATTATAGTTTTTTATAAAGTTTATATTATTTATATTTAGTATATTAATATTTATTATAGGCTAATATAATATTAGTAGTAATTTTTTTTATTTTTTTAAATTAATATATTATAAGTATTTATTAATATATAATTATAATTTCTTAATATTTAAATAAAAGGTATTTATAAATATATTTTATAACTTTCTTTTATAAGTTAGGAGGTACCTAGTGTTTATTTTTATTTATAAAATATTTATTTTATATTATAATTTAAAATAAAAATTAATATAGTTTTTATTTTTTAATATACTCCTTAATTTCTTTAAAAAGTTTATTATATTCTTTTACTTTAAAAATTAAATTAAAGAATTTTTATTTATAATTACTTTATATATTCTAATATAATATAATACCTTAGTAATTAAGAATTTTTTAAAAATAATTAATTTTTCTACTAAGTATATTAGCTTTTTTATTTTCTAATCCCTTATAGTATATAAGTTTATAATTAAATTTACTTAGGAATTTAAAATATTTTAACTATTATTTAAATAGCTTTTAAGTAAATATAAAGTAAATAATATTTTAATAATTAATAAAGATTTTAATTTAGAATTTACTTTTTTTATAATATTAGCTTTATTACTTTAGGTAGTTTTTAATTCTTAAGAATTCTTTATTATAAACTATATAATTAAGTTTAACTTTATTAAGTTTTTATAAGTAAAATATAATAAAGTAAGGGTTTTCTTTATTATTTTACTAATTTAGTATTCTTCTAATTATATATTTAAATATATTAGTTTTAATTTTTACTAGTTTTTTAAGGTTATATATAGCTAAAATAAGTTCTAAGGTAATAGCTTATTTAATTACTTAGAATACTTATTTAGCTTTTTTTATTTATTTAAACTTCTAATTCTTTTTTATTATATTAATTAAAGGTTAAGCTAAAATTAAGAAGTTTTAGATAAAGTATTAGTAATAGTTAACTAGTTTATAAAAACTTTATACTTTCTTAATTAATATTAGTATTAGCTATTTATTAATTATAGTAACTTTTTTTAGGTTTATTTATATAGATCTAGGGGTAATAATATATTTTAGGAATTTTACTTTTTAAGTATAAAATTAATATTTCTTAGGGTTTATAAAAAAATTATTATTTTATAATACTTAAAGTATTAAGTATATATACTTTTTATATTTTTCTTTAGTTTTAGAATATATTAAGATATTATTTAAGTAAATAATAATAAACTTATTTTAATATTTTTAAAAAATATAATTAATTTTTTTTTAAAAGAATATAAATATATTAGTTAATTCTTAAAGTATTATTAGAAATTTATAAAATTCTCCTAGGGTGCTAAAGATTATTATTTATTTATATCCTTTTTTTATTTATATTAATTTATAAGTATTAGTAAGATTTAGCTAAAAGTATACTATAGCTTTTTATAATTAATCTCTTACTTTAGATATTAATAGTAAGGGAGTTTAATTTTTAATTATAATATTATTTAGTTATTTATAATTAATAATTAGTTATAATTTTCTATTTTTCTTTAGAATAAAAATAATAAAATAATATACTAGGGAATTAAAGATTTTAATATATCCTTTTTTTTTTATTCTTATATTTATTTATTAAGGGTATTTAGCTTTAATTAGTTAAGGTTATATAATAGAAAATACTTTAGTTATTTCCCTTTTTTTAGTTCTATTATATAGTTTTATTTAGTATATAGTTTAATAGGGATCTTTAATTAGGTCTGTGACCAGCGGTCAGTACTAGCTAGGATAGATAACTAAGCCAGGCTTTAGCTGGCTTAGTAATATAAAATAAGGAATATTTCCTCTAGCTAAATAAAAAAATTAAGATATATTATTATAATAAAAATAACCCTAGCTAAGATAGCGGCTTTATTTTAGTTAAAATAAGGCCGCAGCAGCTAGATTAAATAATACTATAATCTTATTTTTACGCTATAGTCTTTATAATAGCTAGATAAGCTAGGTAGCTTATAAAGGTATTTAGGTATTTATAGCTTAGTTTAAAGG